TTGGGCAACAGCCAGACCTGGACAGCCATCGAGCCATGTGCGCACACATTCGCGTCTGCATTCTAGCATTCCTAACAAACCGTGATTATCACAAATACTACAGCCCAAATAGAGATAGCTTGGGTGTCAGGCCAACACCACAGACGACAGACCACACCCCCCTAAAGCCTCCTCACTCCCCCACGGCGAACGACATCGCCTTCTGGCCTTCATAGCGCTTGGAGCTAGAGCTATAGTCACCGACTTCTTCGAAATAATCCAACACAGCACTAGGCTTAGGTCCCGGTTTAGCGCGTTTTGCTTCGCGCACGTTTTCCATTTCGCGGGTTGTTATTACAACAAGGTATGTTGCAAACCCAGTGATAAGCAAACCCTAAAACCTAATCCTAAGTATCAACTAATTACACCAATGACTCGGGAATGTCAATAGCTCGATATTTCTCAAAATCGGCGAGTTTTCAGACTGTACGACAACCCAACGACAAACAATACGCCGACAATACGCCAACAATACGCCAACGCATAAACAGCCCAACTGGCTGGCGTATTCGGCGTATTAATACGGGCGTATTAGCTGGCGTATTAATATGGAATACGGTCGCATCCCTGCTCACTAGACAGTTTGAAATGCATCAGAGAGACACACGTTGTTGTTGTAGAATAAATCTCTTGACAAGATGTACTTACTTTTCATGAGATCTCATCCTTTGGTTAAGTCTTTACCACGCAAGGCAATTGACAATTATCACCAAATTGTGGTGAAAATGCCGATGGCGATAAGGCAACAAATGCTACATGAATGTGTTGGCATCTATTATGGCAACCCAGCCATCAACCCTAACTGGTATGGTATGAAAAAAGAGCTGTCTGGGCGGATTCAGTAATAGCCTCGCAGCGGTGGCCGGCTGTAGCTCCTTGCCCAAGAGCCACTTGTAAGCGCCACCCCTGCACGTAGATCAGTAGACAGGAGTAACGGTAGGACGGCAGGTGCACTCACCTCGACTATGCAGCTAGTGGTTGGCGGACTATTAAGTACAGTACGGCAATGGTTGGTTCCAGCACAGGCTGCTCAACAACCGAGGACGGGCCCTTGGTTACATGACTTCCGGACGTGAGGCTATGCCTCCCTTGGGGAAACTCAATCGTCGGTGCTCGGCCCGTCCTAAAGGCTGCCTAACGCGGCGGTCCTATCACAGCGAAGGTTCCAGGATGTCTGTAATTTCCCATGCTGTTGATCGACGTCATGCCCAATGCCTTGACAACTATGGTGCATGAGTCGCATTAAGCTTGCGGCTTCTTATTGTGACCGCACGAAATGGGGTACTGGTATTTAGGTTTTAGTACACGGCACTGATTTTCATGGCATGGGGGTTGGCACCAGTGCGGGGCGGCTACCCCTCTGTGTGGCAAACACAATTTACGAATATAGGCCTCGGCTACCGTATGCTGCGGTCGAAATGGTTGATCCGTTTGGGTTGGCACATGTCCACAGTGGAATGGACTTATCCACATTCCTTACTACTTGCAACAACTCGGAATGGCACCACCATACGAACTTTCATCCCAGAAGGCCGACTAAGCTGCATGTGCGGAGTAGTTGCTTTTTTTATTTCTAAATAGCCGTCAAGATATTCTGGTCCGAAGGTTTGGCACCTCGATGTCGGCTCATCACATCCTCGGTCTGTAGTAGGTCCGATGCTTAGTCGGCCTTCTGGGATGAAAGTTCGTATGGTGGTGCCATTCCAAGGTGCGCTCTGGTGCAACGCAACGGCGACCCTCGCACTCATGTCCTCACCATCACAATACTACCGGGAGTTCACACGCCAGCTACCTCTTCAGCTGTTTACGTAATAACTTGGCCTTGCCATTTTTGCCAGACAGCCAAGGGACCAGCGGTTAAAAAATCAAATTAAGCCATGCATAGATGTACGGCCTGTAGCTTCGACCATCGTCCTATTGGAGTGCACACGACTCAGGCACGCACACTCGACCCGTTCGGGGTCCACTGTAACAATCGCACTCACGCACACGTCGCGAGGGGTCCTATGTCGCCCTGTTATTTGTCGCAGAGTAGCCTGAAACGTGAAGATACTTGCTTTCTCAGCTGAGCGCGATCATCCTGATGAATCTCATGAATATGCCAGTCGAAATCTTCAGTTCCGCGCATTGGCACACATTTGCATCACGGCAAAAATGTACGGGAAAAACTTGCAGAAATCAATATCAAAGCAGCATGGAGTTAAGGCTTTACTACCTTTCAAGGCCACTACGGGCAGCGACAACTGAAGGGCTGACAGATTTGCGGGACAGTTCGACCTCGGCGTCTGTGGTCACAGGCGGTGCGGCCCCGCCCGACCCACGGGACGGCCGCTTTCTGAAGGATAGCAAGGTCCTCGTACCGCGGCGTAGCGCCGCCGTCAACGACGGAAACCGCAACTGACGGAGGTGCCGCGCAGTGTTGCCGCACGGTTGTGATGAGGCCGCAGCCGCTCCAGCCCCACCAAAGTCCCAAGCGAACAACGCAGATGTGCTACCAGTTGCGTCTACGAAAACATCGTCTCCAACATTTCCGGCGTTGAGATTATCTCGGGAGCGAGCTACCCAATGGGTCCGCTCCACCAACGGGCATCTAAACCGCACCCGCCGCCCCTCTGCGGCTGCCACCCCGGGCCCTAACTGGCTGGTGGTCACCGCACCAAACTGTAATGCTGGAGCCCAGGACTTGGCCGACCTTTCCGCTGCAGTGGTGGTGCCGAAGGTTTCTACGGCGTTTAGATAACCAGCAGCCACGGATCCCGCATCCTTGGCTGTGGGCCTGCCGGTTATGTCCACCGCCATCCGTACCCTATGTAACAGGCGGCTATCGCGGGACAGAAGCACCAAGAGGTACCCCTCCTCCTCTTCGTCTTCGCCCTCCTCGACCTCACATTCGTCCTTTCCTGCATTGTGCTGAATGGCCCTGAGGAAGTTTATGCAGCCGCGCTTGTGCCCTTGCTCCCTCCGCCGAGTGCCACCCTTAGTGCCGATGTATCTGACGTTTCTACGGCCGCTGCATCCTCCTACCGCGCCTCTCACGGCGCCGCGGCATTGCTCCTGCTCATCAGGGAAACTCGTGGACGTGGCACATAGGGTCTCGCGCCTGAGGGCCGAAAGCAGCCGCCAGGGTAACCCCTTGCAATTGTCACCACTTCTGCCTGCATGAGTGGTGATGGCCCTCGTATCTGCGCAGGCGCCGCCACTGTACCTAAAGCCGCTGCTGGCGCGGTAGCGGGCGGGGCCACAGCTCCTATTGCTTATGTGGTGGCCATCGACTTTGTCAGGCACCTCATACCGGATGTCATCCAGTGCATCTATGGCTGCACAGCGCGCCTGTACACGGGCTCGTTGCAGGTCGCTGTCGAAACTCCACTCCACCTGCAAGGGGACCTGCGACTGCGATGTGACCTCCAGCGGCGGAAGTAATTGAACGGCCGCCGGGGAGGGTCGTGGAAACTGCAACAGCAAAGCAGCTGTGGTGCTTGCCGCCTGCTGCCCACCAGATGCCATGCCGCTGTCAGCCACTGTCACCGCACCTATAACTTGTTCTTGACCGGCTTTGGCAGGCAAGATACAGCATTGCATAAGATCCAAGGTGTGAAGTAGCTCGGCACCGGCAGCCCCATCCACTGATGGCCGAAGACTTGGCCGCCTGGCAGGTGCTCCTTCCGATCCTCCTGCGCCTCTGGCACCAGATCCAGCACGCTCGCCCGTTTTAGGTTCCCCTGCCATGCTGCCCAGTGAAAGCCCCGGGGGCAGTGCCGAGTCGTGAGTTGACTGGGCCCGCGGGTCGGCACTTGGCTCGACAGCACTGGTGTATACGGCGGATAGCAGCGCTGAAGGGCCGTTACAGCACAGGTCGCGCGGTGGCAAGGCCCCGGGACTTGTAGCCAGCTGCTGCAAGTGCAGCGCCTGCAGATAGCCAGGGAAGTCCATGGAGAGGCTGAGGCGAGCGGCGGAACGAGGCAGCAGCGGCATGGATCGGCGGCCGTGGTCAGCAGCAGCCCAGGCGATGGAAGAAGAAGACGAGTCGCATGGGCCGGTCTGACCGTCCATTTTGGGAGGACTGGCGCCGCCATGGATGTCACGTGGGCGCCCCAAGTACGAGCTGGACGGGCTCTTGAGGACGGGGTTCTGCAATGTGGGGGACGGGTAACTTCCCCTGAGGCTTTAATCGGTCGAGGTAAATCCAGCGAGGCTGGGAAGTTGGGCCGCGCGGGATATATGCTGTCTATGTAATATCATTGTGGCAAGCTTCAGCCGGCTGTAGGATAAGAGAAACATGCGTATGGTTGGGGACTTACAGCTTACCCTCATATTTTCAATGCTGCTTACGCAACTGCACATTATCCAGTCGATCGTTTCCTCCGCTTTGAGCTGAACAAACTCGCTTCCTCAGCTGGTGGATGTATCAGTGTGGTGGCAGACTGGCAGTCGCGTTCTGTTTAGCGGATCAGTCACACGTTGGGCAACGACCCCGCAGCAGCTCCGCCTGACTTGGGTTGCCGAATAAATGTCCAATAGGTTACTGCACGTCACGAAATGCGGGCAATTCCGATGGCATAGCTGACACAAACTCATTGTGCCAATCAAGTCCAAACAGCTTAATCACTTCTCGCCTTTCGACAGCTTCGAGCCGATCGGTCCTTATTAGATGGGCCCTGCGCCGTTTGTTGCAATGGCGCAAGGCAAGTGTCGCGTATGCCTTGCGGAGCTTTTAGCCGCTTTGGGGATAGAGCGCGCTTGCGTAACGACCGGACGGCCCGCATAACCTCAAGAGCGAACGACGAGCATCAGTCAAGGCTCAAAGCACCTAAAAACTTCAAGTACGTAAAAATGGAATAAAGTGCGCTTATTTTAGTACTTAAGCAAGCTGCGTCCTTCTAGAGTCTGAGCTTGGAAGGGACCCAACGCTAATGCCAGTTGCAAGCCGCAATAAAGGTCCCGTATGGTATGAGTGGTATTTATTTGTGTTTGATGCTGCTTAACTTAGCGGGCTTGTTTGTATATTTTGCCGGGTGTGCGGTACAATTGTGAATTCCCGGATGTCCGGTCCATGCTGAAGTCAATCATTCGCTGGGACAGAAGATCGCATAACTGCGCCCCTAATACCTTCTCCCTGTAAGAAACGCTTGGTGAGGATTCGAGTCGAAAGACTTGTACGAGCAGCGTTACGCTTACTAAGTTTTAACTTTTCAGCGTAGCTCCGAGGGCTTTCCTTGGATCTTCAGGGAGACGCGTTATTAAGTGAGCGCATGGCAACGCTGTGGTTCATGACGTTCAGGTTCCTTCTACCCACATGTGCGTATGCTTGTACCAACGCAAGTGGATTTCGTCCATTCCTGAATGCACCGATGCTGGGCGCTACCTTAGTAGCCAGGCGTACACGCAAAGGACCGAATGTTTTAAGAGTCGAGGGCCCTATAAAGTGGCTTTTGACAGTACGAGGATCGATTGAACTCTATCGAAACTCCACGTCCGGTGCTTGCAGTCCGGCCAGTATGGCATCCGACGAATACAGTTTAGTGTTCAGACGCCGTAACTAAAGACCCACCTGGATTTCCGCATGCAAGTCGTTTAGCATTATGCCTAATATGCCTGCATACGTGCGTCGAGTGAAGCCTGCCATGTATACTCCAAAGTAACATGCATCTACGTACTGTTCTGATGCGGAATGATGATAGTCGGAATCCGCCGGAGCGACACCAGATCTGGTCGGCTAGCTGGCAACGTGGGATTGCCAGACCGCTGGTGCCGAAACATCGTCTATTTGGCCCATTACAGCTCAATCAAGCTGCGTACGCTGGATTATGAACGCTGCTTACTAGTACGTGCCTCATACCGCCCGGAAGTAGTAAACTGCGATGCTCTGGGTTCTGACCTAATGAGGAGGTGCAGGCCGTCGGGGAAATCGATGTCGGACGGGGGCTGCTCTAGGTGTGTGGTCGAGAGGAGGCAGCAAGGATGGGTTGGCCATTGCAGTCGTGCTCAAGGGGCTGCCCGGAAACTTACCTTCATGCTTTGTCATGCAAGTATATGAAGGTCCAAAACAAATACACTGGACACATGCATGCTTCATATGGGAGGATAGGAGACTTGATTACAGTTCCGTTTAGTTGGGAGGTCAACTCCCTCAATAATCTCCCCAACAGCAACAGTCACAACCAGCAACCCGTTGGAAACAGGGGCAAGTGCTAGCCTATTATTCAAAACGCAGCCTATTCGAACCTCTCTGTTGTGGAACAGTGTCAGTTCCAGTTAAGTCCAGTCAGCCCTGCTACGAACTCAGCCCTCTTACCAGGCTTAATCAGCGCCACTCCGAGCTTGGCCTTGCTTACTGCCGCTGGTGCCCAGATCAACCACGTTAACCTTTTCTGCATACACATCCTATCTGAGTATGCGATCCTGCCCTCGGCCATTTTGAGTTTCGTGCCGAATCGGGGCATAGGGCGTGCACATCGTACGACTTGTCCCCAAACCAGTTCATAAGGGGGCTGACCGGACCAATCTGAAACTGACACTATTCCACAACAGAGAGGTTCGACCTCTGCCCCTAACTCATATCGTATATAAGGAACGAGGTGCTCTTGGTCGTCATTTATAAACCTAAGGAGTCCATTTATAACGACGGTACTTTGCGTGTTGAATACAAATGTCCGAATATTCTCCTGTGGTGCTCCGAGGGTCCCTCGCAATGCCTGCCATGGACGGCGGGTAAGTGCCGCCGGGCTTCCCTTCCACACACTCTACGGATGCTCCTAAGTTGGGCTCCCGGTGGCGCAAAACGCAAAAGCCAAAAAGCCCACCATTGTTGCAGCAGCAGCAGCAGCAGCAGCTACACCTGCCTAATAAAGTTGTGAAAACACGGAGGACGAGATGAAGCCCCACGGCACAGACAGGCATCCTTATGCAACATACCGCTTGCAATGGGCCACAATTCTTTATGACGGGTTTGAAACGACGTCCATGACACAAATGGAAAGAGATTCAATTCAGCCACGTGCAGCCCTCCATTATTGGCTATCTATCTATCGGCCACTGGAACAAACCCAAAGTAGCTCGCATGCAAAGGGCGTGCGCCGTCACCCCGACGGCACAAGAACGATAAACATGTAACGGTACAGAAAGATTCGGTACGGAAAAATGAGATGCACCAAACAAACACGCATTTCGCCATCCTGCGCTACATGTCGCTCGGAACTCGCCCGCTACGTATCGCACGTCGGTGCACACTCGCGATGGAATAGATTTCCGTAAGTCACCACGAAGTGCGGAAAGCCTTGGTGGTCGTCCTTGGTGGAGAGGAGCCGGTCCGGGGCAAAGGAGCCGGCTGACGGGTGGACAGGAGACAACGCCCTCGCCTTCAGCACGTCAGCCACGGAGCTGCGTTCAACGGCCGCACCGTGCCACGTTCCTCATGCCAACGGCCAGCTCACAATATCAGAGCGCCGATTGCAAAGTACTGCAAGTGCTTAATGCAACCACACGACTATCTGCATCGCACCACCTGCACCGCCGCGCATCATCGCCCCTAGACAAGTACCAGCGCATAACGTATAACCAGCGCATGAATACATCGCAGCCAGCTGATTAACATGTTTGAAATAGAAGAATGAAATGCGGCTAAGCCGGGGGCGGTCCCATTTCACCAGAAACGCAGCGGCTTGCGGGCGCGGCAGTAAACATAACCTTAGCTTCTGAAGGCTGCTAACTCAACTTTCAGCTCCGGAACTACGCGGGCAGAGCTCAGGTTTTTTAAATTATGCCCTGGGCATTACCAGTTGTGGTTTTGCCTTAGAGCACCGTATGATAACCAGCTTCGTGGAACGAATCATGCACGCATGCACGCACTTGGTACGACACACCGAAGGACCGGACGCCACATAATATGCCCCTTGCGAGACGACGTTCCTGCGTAAAATTCTTGGCAAGGACAGTGGCCCTTGCCGCATGGTAAATCAGGGACAAAGCCCCGCCTAACAGTTGGGACTTACCCGCGTCAGAACATGGTAAGTGCCCAGATGTTGCCACATGGCAACAGTGAAAGTTGCACAGCTTCTACTCACCCCTACATCTCCCCTTGGCGTTTGCTTGCAAGTCGACTTGCAGCATCGGAACTGGGTCATAATAACGGAAGAATCCAACGACAGATGAACACAGCCGGCTGCAAAAATAAGCGGCTCGCAAAGTGTGCGTGGGGCAGGGTCCCGCCCGCTGGAGCGTCCTCCACGCACTACGGTGCTGCAGGCATGGAGACACTGCAGCGAAGCAGCTAGCCGCTAAACTCGAGAGTTGGGCTACAAGTGGGCTATGGCAGATGAGCTTCAGCCTCGTTCCACATCGCGCAGTACCATGCGGTGCTGTACGTTCGGCACCCGCGGGACAGTAAAAAGAGGCATATGCAACAATACGGACCGATGCAGGGCGGCGCCCTCAGGGCGCCGCAAATGAGGGAGTCGCAATGAAAGGAGGTTGTAATCCACAACGTCTGCGCCAAACCTTAACTGCCTGCAAATAAACCGAACACTGACACGGGTGGTGCAACTGCGATGCCAAAGGCAGCCGCATAACTAATTAGCAGTTGGACGCTTGGACTTTGCACTGGGCAGCTCCCGCAAAGGATAACGAAGGACGAAAGCATTCCAGCAGCGGGGAAATCCTCCCGTGCATAAACACACCCCTGACTGAAACGCTATGCAGGGCAAGATTGCTGGAGCACGCAAAACAACTGATCACAAAGGTTCGCGCCAAAGGTACGCAGGCTTGATCCGTTGGCCGTATCCAACCATTCTCCAAACCCAAGTCTCTTGTCCTTCACCCTTACTGCACCATACATACATTAGGCAGGCGGCTGGCAGAGGTTAAGGCCTGACTTCTGCTCCCAGTTGACCCAGTCGACCCGGGTTCAAATCCGCCTGCCGGCTCCTCGGGTGTTTGAGGAGTGATGAAATGGGAGGTGGCCCCCCATCTTATGGACGGTGTAGGACGTGATAATATCAACTTGCGAGCTGACCAGGAACTAAGTTGATGCGCCGTTGATCCGCTAGATTTGGTTGGATGCTGGTGGTGAGTTGCCGAACCCAACGAATACATTCTGAAGTCGGATGGGGTGACGGATTAGGGTGCCCCTCTAGCAGGGGAGAGCAGGGACTGCCCCGGGAAAGGGGGCCGCTGGCGAAGTTAACCACCCTGTAACAACATACATACATAAAAAAAGTAGGCAGACCGCCTCCCCGTCGAGATGGACTTCCACACTGCCATTGCTGCCCGCAATACACATAACTGCGGGTGTGCATTCTTGCTAGCCCTGGCTACGATGTCAAAAAGGCGGCTATGCCGGCGGCTCCCCAACATGCCGACCTAAGCGCCCATGACACGCCTGTTGCTGATGCGTAACCTGCCCAAGTGATAGCTAGGGGAGTGCGTACAAGACAACCATAAAACCCAAACACCATATCTTAATCGCCATCCAAGCGTCTTCCTGTCTTCCCCTCATCTTTCAAACCAAAACCCCAAAAGCCACACAACTAAATGTTGACTGCAACCTGTCATCGCCACGTCTATCCATTTCGGCCAACACGTGGGTCAAACAGGTAGAGCGCCTATGGGTCAATCCGGAGCCGTGTCCACTGCCGCACCGAAACCCGTCACAGACTAATCTACCTGCCTCTGCTCGCCGCATCTATTCGCAGCATAGTGTACACGGCCGCAACCTTGGCTGACCCGCAGCCATCCCTGCTCTCCATCGCCCTAACGCCTCGCGCCCTACTGCTTAGCGTGGGAAAATCATCCCTGCGGCCCTAAGGGCCACTCGAGGGCTCGGGTCGTCGCCCTCGTCGCCCTCAGTAAAGCCATCCAGGACGTCGCTGTCGCCACAGTCGGCAGTGGTGGCCCCGTCAACGCTGCGGGTCTCTAGCTGGCTGAGTGAAGTGAACTTCGGCTCCGGTCCCCCAGGTGCACTCAGTTGACGCAGCCTCGGTCTGGGCAACGCACCACGGCGGCCGTTAGAATGCATCTCCGTCGCGTCGGTAGGCGTGCATAGCTGCGCTTGCGGTAGTCGTACATCTATGGATCTAACAAAGTTGAAAGCCGCCGCTGTTATCGGCGTTGTTGCAGTCGCCAATGGCCTTCTGGCGACGCCCTTGCTGGCGGCGGCAGCATGCGCGAACGCTGTCACGGAGACGCCGATAACGGAGGCGCTGCCAGCTGCACCCTTCGCAGTTACGGCACGGATGGTGTTGCTGGCCTCTTCCGATGGTACAGACTCATCGCCGAATGAATTCCGCGGCCCAATGCCCACTTGCTGGTAAGTAATTGGTGCCGTGGAGGGGGCAACGGCTGCGTGCTGCAGGCGGACCTGTTGCGCCAAGCGCGCCCGGTGGACAGTGGTGCTATCGCGCGAGGTCATGACGGACGGCGGCCGCTGGTCACTGCCCGAGCGTGAACGACGCCCGCGGCTGCTGAGGAGACGGGTGGCGGCCATGAGCTGGTCAACAGGGCTGCGCAAGATAGCGCTGTGCGCCCTGCCCGTATCATCATCATCGACCTTCACAGTACCGGCTCCGCCGCCTTTGCCTCTGCTAGGTCGGTCACCGGTAATGCCACTGGCCAGCTCCTCGTCTTTAGAAAGTTTTCCGCCGCTGCTGCCCGGACTGAGCTGGTCGCCGTAGGAGCCGTCCTCGTAGCGGCCATCAGCCCGGCCATCGTCCTCGAGGCTATATCTGGAGCAGTCGTGGCCGCAGCTGCTGCCGCCGCTGGCAACCTTCCCAGCACGGTACACTCTCTCTGCGTGGAAGGCCCGCAGGAGTCTCTCTAACCACCGGGGTCGCGTCTTTCCCTCCGGCTCTTGCTGCCGCAGCGCACCGAAGCCCTCCTCCTTTTCCGTCGAGCCGGGAGCGCTACCACGGGCCTGCAGCCACTCGCGCGCCGACTTGTGTCCGAACAGATTTGATTTTATTGGATTCTGAAGGGGTGAAACTGGGGAGGGAGGTGTTCTAGTGCTGCGGGAAGGCTCAATGGAATTATGATGCCATGAACACTGCCTGGCGACAGAGCTCGATGCGGTAATGGAAGCCACAGCTGCAGTCGCCATAGATTGAGCACCCGCTCTAGCTCGATCGGCAGCAGCTGCAGCTGCAGCATTGATGGCCGCAGACAGCGATCCGGCCGAGACTCCTTCCTCCGCATCCTCCTCCTTCGCTTGGTTGTCCGCTGCCAAAGCCGCTGCAGTCGTCCCTGGCCCCAGTGACAGTTCTGAAGCTTGCCGCGTGGACAGCATCACTGCACCCGCCGCAGCGTCAACCGATTTGCGCGCTAGTGCACGCCTCCTGCGCGCGGCGATGGCGGCTTGAGTCGATGGGCCATCCATGGCCGTTGCCCCGCTGCCGATACTGGAGCTGCCACCGCGTTCGGAGTGGCACTTGGTGGGCCTCATTCGCGGGCTGCTCTCGCCCGGGTTTGAGCTGTAATCGCCACCCTCGGTGGTGCCTAGTGATGAGCCCCGATCCCTTTGGAAGATGCTTAGCGCAGATGTCAGTTTGATGAGCCGTACAGCGGCCGGCACGTCGGAGCTTTCGAGTGTTGGGGATCCCGGCAGGGCGGGCATAGTCCCCAGCAAGCTGTTGATCACCCGGTTGGCATTGGCGGCATCTGAAGTGCATTTGGGGCTCAGCATGGAGTCTGCCAGCTCAGCGTCCGATGACATGTCCTCGTTGTCGTCGCATGCTGCGCGGGCGGCGGCCGCTGCAGCGCCCAGGCGGGCATTGCGGTTGGGCTTGATGAAGACTGACACCGGGCGCTGCGAGCCCAGGGCAGGGCAGTGGAGAGCATTGAAGGGCAGGGCAGGGACACAGCGGAAAGGTTGGGGCGGGCGGAGTACCTCACATACTGCACGTTGAAGGCTGTACGGTCAGTGTACGAAGAGACCCGTGGGTGCCAAGTGCGAAAGAATCACAGGGGAGGCGAGTGGGGAAAAGGGCGGGCAGGGGAGTGGCAGGGTTCATTGACCAGCGCCCAGTGCCCTGGAACCGCTACCTCCAGGTATTACACAGCTTGCACAGTCTGAGTTCTGTGTGTCGATCCTGAAAACTAAAAGCGCTAGGACCTCACGTACTGCGACTTAGAGGGAAAACCAGTACCTTCGTTGTCACTCCAACAGTATTGGCTTGTAATGTTGTTGCTTGATCAAAGAGATTTGCCGGAAGAGATGGTGCTGTGAATAGCACATTCTCGCAGCGAGGCTGGATGTCCATATCAGCGCCGTCCCAGAGCGAAGGCAGAACACAAGAGGGAGCTGGTACAGGCTAAACCATCGCAGACGTGCGTGAAATATTTGGACATGCAATCTACGTTGACTGCCGTGTACAAGTTCGCTGACTCCGCTCTGAGGGAGTCGTCGCCGACACGACTATCTTCGCGCAACACGACTCACGACTATCTTACTACAGGCTTACATTATTTCGGCGTATTAAAATGTAATATTAGAGCTTAGGTCGTTGGAAGTGGACGTTGGCACTGCTATTCCATAGGAAAAGCCTTACACTGTCTTGCGACGTCGCCTGAACTCCTAAACCGGCGTAGATGCATGAAAAATGGGCACTCGTATAAGAAGGCGTAACATATGATGATAAATGTCTTGAACACTGTGTCTTGGGAAAGGGAGAACCTCGTACGGAAGCGTGGAGCACATGTACAAGTTGCATATGAAAATGTTCATGGCTGGTAAAGTCGTAATCAGCGTATAGACTTGAATTCACGTGCATCGGGGCGGCTGCGATGTAATGGCTACGGACTGTAAGCAAAGGAACCCAACAGGCCGGGTGGGGAACAGAGTAAGTCCAATAGGTATCGTTATCTTATATATATGATATTTGTAGCATGTCGGTCAAGATTTGACCTGTGCGTCGCATGGGCAGTCCTACGTGAAATTCGGCATTGCGTCGGAAAGCCTGTAATATACTTTCATGCCCGCCTAGTTCACGCCCATCCACGCTATGCACAAGAGGCACAGTTGTGCGAATCTTTGCATACAGCGTGTTCGGATCAGTTTTTTGATTCTGTAGTCCGTCGGAGTCCTCGGAAACCAGCAGGCATAGAGGCTGTTCGGCAGAAGTTGCGATGGGCGATGCGTCTTATGATAAGATGAGGGGGACGCATGCACGTTTTTTTAGTACTTGTCCATGTATTGACTTCATTTGTGGTTCGATCCTTCTTTGAGTCGCAAGCCACGCCCAGCAGGGCTATGCTCTACGGACCAAGCTATACGTTAGCTGAACCATGTTATTAAGACCAGCACCCGTGGGGGGGTATGGACAATGTATGTCTGTAGACCCTATGATGGCACCTGGGTTGTCCTTTCCAGACTGCCGCAAACTGGCCTGAATGGCCGCATTCCTTGAGCCCATAAGCTCAAGGAAGATACTTAATAATATCGGTCAACTAGCAAGAAATCCTTCACGGGGCCACAGGCGCTATGAAACCTAACCCGGCCTATCCATGTGCATAACGTCTAGCCAGGATTTAACAAAGATTGAAAACATATTTAAGATATACTCACAAGGTTTGCGACTTTGGTAACGCGTGTAGAATACGCATATTCTATACACCTCCCTACGGCGTACCTCTTTAACAACACTCATATGCCTCTTGAGAGGAAGCGATATGTGATGCGAGAGGAAGCGATACACGTCCCCAAGATGGCGAGCGCTTTTCCACTCCAACGAGTTATGAGCTACCCCGCGTGTACCTGTACACCTGATAACCCTTCATACCTCCGTCGAATTTTCCAATCCCCTTCGCAGCCAACGACTTTTTCATGAGCATGTCATGTCTTGTTGACTACGTCTAATGTCTAGCTGGTTTTCGATTCTTCGCTCCTACGTTGGCTAGCTGTTAGCTCTTCGTTCAAATACGGGCTGCCTGGACAGTACAATGTCGTCCAAGCTTGCAAGGCATGTTGCTAACAAACATACGGAACTGCTATTGGCACAACAGTCGCGGCGCAAACGGAATTTGGGTGGGAGCTGAGCCTGGCTGAGCTAATATGTGTGTGTGTGTGTGTTACATGGTTGGGGGTGCGTGACCCCATACCTGTAAGACTACCCATACGAGCCGAAGGCCCAAGGGCAATACTACAACGCCTAAAAGCCACGGAGAAAAGGAAAAACACCGCACATCAGCCCAGACTAGCGTCCAAAGGGGGTAATATGCACGTCGATAACGACCGACAACCCGACCAACCGCAATTTACATCCGCGAGATTATGAAAAGGAGGCCGTCTCATATCTTTTGGGTGCTTATCTTTTGGAAGCTTATCATGCATGTCAGAAGCGAAGCCTGCCTGCGAGACCTGCCCAGCCGCAAAGCCACCCTCTCTTGCCATCCGTTCCCCTCAAACATCGAACATGCTCTCGCCGCGCGTCCTCGTAACGTGCACCATCATCTGCGTCATGTTGAATACATCCAAGGCAAATAGCAGTTCCGGACGAGTAGATTTCGAACTTCAACTGGACGAGAGGATCTTGGATAAAGTGGACTCGAAAGGAGCACCGGTTGACACAAATCGCACTCGGACATGGAGCAGAAGCCAAGGCTCAGTCGGGCTACCACGGCAAGCAGGGACAACCACGAGGTATCCAAAAAGCAGTGCCGCCCTACAACCAGGGAGACGTAGTGGCCCAGTACTCACAGTAACACCCTGGGATGTCCAGGTGACCAAGCTCGGCTGGGGGTCAGGTTTCAAGGTCGTCAGCTGTCAGACTGCAAGGGGGTCTGCACTACGAGTTCTGGGCAATCTTGGGATTGAAAACAGTTGCGCCAATGCGGAGCCGGGTAAGGTCTGAGTGAAATACTTAGGCCGACCAGTAAAAATTTACGCAAAGGGATGTGAGAGACCGAGAGAGTGGGTTGCGTTTCCCTGTCGCAAAGGCCCCAACGATTAACCCTGTATGTGCAACACATAGAAATTGTCCGTAAGTAGTCACCCTAAATAGCTAGTACGCCAAATGCAAACAACTCCTCCCAAGCCTGGTTCTCAGCAGCTCGGAAGGGGTACTGGCAGGCCTTTGACGCGTAACTGTCCACTTATAAATAGCGGCGCAATCTCTGAAGAGTTTCTCCTTGCACAGCTGGCATCCTAAGAGCGCGGTATCACCGCAGGGGTTAAAGGCCCCCGACGTCCTCTGTCACCAGCCTGACAGAGGCAATACCCGTCAAGGCAGGGGCCCCAGTGCAACTGTCGACGCCACCACATTCTTGACGCCGCCCATTTCGTTCCTGAAAATCAACCTCACGCCGCTGCCATGGCTATCCGTCGTCTGTTTGGATAACATGTCTTTAATGTGTCGCAGTGGTGGCACTCCTCGGCTATCCTGGACGACCAAACACATCACGGGCTAAAAACCCTTCACATCGTAAAGGCATGATGGCCAAAGCGCCCTTCCAGACCTAACGCAAAACTGAATGCAGCAGGTCAACCAGAGCAGTCAACAGTCCTCCTGGACCGTGGGGCCATCTGATACGGTCATCATCGGCTGGGCCCCCTCCCCAGCGGCCTCCTCGCGCTTCTTCTACCCCATGCGGACGGCTAACGCACCAGGACGGCAGAAGACCTGGGGGCCATTGGTCCGAAGGGATCCGTGGAAGTCAACAGCTCAATGCGCTCCGGGACCAGATTGCGACATTGCACAGTCCAGTTGCCCACGGACCAAACCGCCTGTGATGAAATTTCGGACGCTAAGTTTAGCGAGCTCTGGCTGCGCTCGCCGGGGCTTATGCCATGTACACGTCCATCAATCCACACTGCCCTTTATCGATAGCGGCATACGTCCGCTGGGACGTTTTCCTCCAGGTTTACATCAGTTATAACCAACTAACGCTCAACTATGCCCATCCCGCGCGTGCGGCAGTCGATCGCCAACGAAGCGTTGCAAGGGAGAAAGTAACAGGAGCAACAGCAGCAGCAACAGCAACAGCAGCTCCAACGCCATGCGCAGTTCCCCACGTGGTTTTCGGTCCCCTCTCGTCCAAGCACGCAGCCTTACGCTCCTTTTTGCAGTTAAGCATCCCATTACGTCGCATCCCGTTGCGACATCCATTCCTTATCCATGTCTGCTATCCAGCCTGTCAATAACGCTCCTCCTGCCGTACCGGGCTGCTTAGTCACCAGGTAAATGCCAACAAAATGGTGACGGATCATGCGCGCTGCCCAAAAGACGCAACAAAATGCAACAGTACTTAAGGGAATAGTGCGATGGCCCTATCCAGTTTCCATGCACAGCGAGATGCGCCTGTAAATTTGATTCAACGGAGCTTCTATGCTTCTCAAACAAAATGCCGGTGCCAATACAAGCCTTCTTCCGAGGCTCAATCGCCGATCTAGATAGCGGCTCAATTATTGGGGGAGGCGGGAAAGGGCCTGGGCCTGCGTCACCCGGGGGTCCGTGGGGGTCCGTAACATCGAGCATCCGCCATCATGCACTAGGGGGACCCCAGGGGGAACCCTGAAGACGGGGCCCTAGGACATCCAGGACATCACTTCGTCGCCATCGTGATAAGCATATTCACGGTGCCGAGCGCGCTCACCCCGAAAGGCCCAAACACCCTCCGCTAAGGTTGCACAAAGGATACGCATGGCGCATGCCTTGTGCACGATTCGCTCCGTTCTAGTCGAGTTACGATAATCCAGTTTCCTTTCCGGGGCGAAACGGCTACCCAACGAATTATTCATTGGCTGCGGGCGCTCTTGGCGCGGCCTAGTTGGGCCTATGACTGTCCCAAGCGGGCGGGCACCACGCAAGCACGTGCCGTTGTACCCTGCAAAGTCGTGCTGTGCAATGACGTATACGGCGATGCCGTACCCCGTAGCCCCGCTGTGCACCCGAACTTGGGAACTGCACCGTCAAGTACATTCTGGGTCTGCAACCTGAACTGCTTGAAAGAATCCAAAACTTTATTCGCAGACACCTAAACAACTTTAGCAATCATGAACGGTGGGACGGGCAAGGTCGCACTTTGGTGCAAACCCGACAGCATGTCGTTGTGCCAGCAGCGCAAGCAAATATAAGTAACCATGATCCAATGAACAGCCCATTTATAGGAGAAGTCTGACAGCACGCATGAAAACGGCATCAGGCAGACAGGCAAACAAGCAAACAGGCAGACAGACAGACAGACAGATAGTTGGACGGACGGGCGGGCGTAACGTAGGCGCAATTAGCCCAGCTTAATCGCCACAACTACCAGTTGCTGCCACCACTCCCAGCCGCTTTGTCGTGCGCGTCGAAGCCAGAACTGCCACTGGCTCCGAGAAGCGGCATTGCTCGTCCCGTGACTGCGTCTGCATGGCCACTAGGGAGTATAAGGATAGTCTGCCTAGCTTCGGACTAGGCGGGGCATCCACGGGGGCCCCCACAGAGCGCCGTGCACCTGCCAGCCGAGCACGCAGATTTGCGATGGAGGAAATCCGCGCCTTCTGGGACCTACTGGGGTCCTTGTCGCCCTCTTTGTCCTCGGGGCCAGCACTGCCGTTACGGCCGGTCGGCGCTGGAGGCGCTGGCTGGCTGAATGCATACACATGCCCAGACGAGGCTGCAGATGCGGCTGCAGCTGAAGGTGCTGCAGGCGAGGATGGATGCGATGGCAAGAAGGAGACGGACTCCGCCGACGCCAGCAGCGACGGAGCGCGGATCGTGGAGGGTGGAAGAAATGCAGTGCTCGAAGTCAATCCAGCAGCTACTGTTGTTGCTGCTGCTGCTGCTGCTGCTGCTGCTGCTGTCGTTGCTACTGCCGGGAATGCAACAGCGCGTGGAGTCGAAGGTCCGCAGGGGCTCCCTGCCGCGCCGCGAATTCCCGACCTGGCGCCAACTGTAACTGAATCCGACCCGGCATAAGACCCACGGCCTGCAGGCGATGCAGCCGCTAGCGGGTCCTGTCGCCGCACGCCGAGCCCTAGCCGTGCGCGGGCCAGAATTTTACTGTCGCAGCGTTGCCGCTGCAAAACTTGCAACGCTTTTTCGGCGTCCTCCTCCTCCTCCTCCTCCTTGCTGTCATCATCGGAGTGGTAACGTGTGGCTCCCAAGGAGCAGTACGACACAGTAGTCAGAGTATCACCACACTTCTGGGTGCGCCTGCTCGCATCGCGTTCGCGGCCTTTCCCATCCCGCGTGACCAGGCCCTGGCGCTTGCGCTTGGTGAATGCATGCAGCAGCCGCCGCAGCAGCCCCAGCGGTGTCACCTTAGCGCCGACTGTTGAGCGACCCCCATGGATGCTGCTAACGGAGACAGAAGCAAAGCTGGAGCTTATGCGGCCGTAGTCTTCGTCTCCAGCCGCCGGGATGCTGTCACCCAACAGGACCTGACCATCGGACATAGCGGCAGCAGTGACAGCGTATCGGGCTTCCAGTCGAGTACGGTGCAGACGACTGAAGAGGCCCCAGTCACGCAGTATCCTTCTCGGCGGTGCCGGCGGCGCGGTGTTGCTCCGCTGCAGGTCGCTATATGTTTCAGGGGAGGGGTCCCACATGTACGGCAGGAACAGGCGTGAGGGCTGGGGCTGGATCAGGGGGCCCGGCCGGGGCTGGGAGTTGCTGGAAGGCAGGATATCAGGCATGACGTCCGCACCCGTGTTTGCAGCAGCAGTCTCCCTGCCTGGGCCTGTGCGACACCGATGCCACCGCCAGGGCTCCGTAACAACACCCCTGGCGGTGGTGATGGTGGCATCGGCGACGTCCGCTTCACGGTCTCCCGCCTCCACCTGGCCTGTACGGCGGGCCGTTGGAGGACCCTCCGACGCGGGAGATGCTGTGTGGGGCGCTTGGCGGGGACTGCAACCGCTCCCTCTTGAGGAGAGTATCAGAGGGCTCACTCGGGTGGCGATGGGTTCGTCGTGTCTGGGGCTGCTGAAGCCAGCGAGGGAGGCAAAACCGGCGTCGGCATTTGCATTAGCGATGGCGGTGGCAGTGGCGCTAGTGCCCGTGCAGGCGGTGCCGGTGGTGGCTGCAGCAGCACAGGGGGAGGTGAAGCTCGAGGTCCGGCTACATCTGCGGCTACGGCTACGCCTACTTGTATTGCATGCGAGCAGGAGCTGCGCTGGTAGGGCGGAGTCGTCAAGGATATGGCCGGTGATCGAGCCCGGCAGGGCGGGCAGAAGGTGTGCCGCATGCAGCGCGTTGCCGGCGTTCTTGGAATGGGGGTTCATCTTGCCGTTAGGAGGCGTCTGGATGCCGCCGCCGGTGGGCAACCCATTGCGGCGCGTGGAGCACTGAGGTAGCGGCGCTGCACGGACGGTGAAGGTAAGGAAACGAGCGGATGACGCGAAATGAGCGCATCGGCAGGTGCGTACAAAAATATGAGACAAAAAATGATTAAGAAACCGTCAACATAGAGATTCAGTATCAAATTCTGCAACGCGTTGCTACATTGGCGCAGTCTCTTTCCTCAATGACAGAAAGGGAACGGCCCAACCGGCAGACCAAGCCCACTGTACTCAGCTGTGACCAGTCACAGGCCAGGACCATTGCTAATTGAAATTCTACTTGAACTGTATGGTGTATCGTACCGGAGGCAGTGGTACTCCTCTCCCGACGCTGCGCCATGCTGTTCACGCTTCTCCGCTCTACCGCGCGCATACGTTGTGCGCTATCCAAACTTTAAGAAATGTGTTAAATGTGTAAATTATGTTACTTGGAATGTACGATAGGTAACATATGCTGCAGGGGCTCTCTTGCGTATCGAAATGTCGTCTGCAAAACGACTCATATGCTTAAAGCAACATCTGGGGAGGAAACAAAATGAAAATGAAACGTTTTATTGCATAACGATTCAAACTATGTAAGCCTCTGTGTCCTGCCCGTATGTCAACGATCCGATAAAGTAGTCGAAAAGAGCATGTGTTATCAAGGAGCCAGCTCTCCTATAGACTTCTGCCTTCCTTTTCAGAGTTTATATACCCGTTCACTCGGATTATGTTCAAACCCAAGCACGTTATTGCCTTTCCAGGCCTTGTACCCTCAAGGCGCATTATCTGTTTTCTGGCAGACGCCTGCCGCTGCTCTAGTATCATGGATTTGAGCTAGAGCTTCCGATTAAGGTCTTGTACCTGCCTGAGTGTTGCCCCGTCGTCTTATTACCGTTACTAAGGGGCGGTCCACCAGCCTCCTGGCTCATCTGCAAATAACCATAAGGGCATACCGTTCATCCCAGCTTGTGGTAGGTACTATTTAATGAAATATCCTGAGAAGCAATTTTGGGCCCCCTGGGCTGACCGACCGACTCTGCCGTACGGTTCTGGCTTACAACTGAGCTCGGTTTTTTTCGACTTGCCAACCAGGAGCCACGTCGTGATGTCATTAATGCCACCAGGTCATCAGCTGATCATGGAATGGGATTAGTTTCTTTGCTGCAAAAGCAGCAGAAGTGCAGAAATTCAGCCGTTACAAGTTTCATCAGCTTGTGCGGTCCAACATCTCATGAACCTACATGCACGTATGTTTTAATATCGTTTTTGCATTTGCCAGATCAGAAATAGTTGAGCGACTTGCAATTACTGTGATATAAATCGTGGAGTCGGTGCCGTAGGTGGGAAAGCCGCTTGATAGCGTTTGTCAGGCCCTATTCAATTAAGCCGGCTTAACAAGCAACGTAGTGGAACGAATACTTACATTACTGTAGGATGTCAAAGGACAGGCAATTATGTTTACCGCCTGGTTCGCATTCATTCGTATCCTTCACTCGTGTTCTTTTAGGGACAGTCTCCCTGCCAGTCACCGGCACCCGGTGCACTGACTAACGCGGGCATGGGGATACACATTGATGACAGCGGCGACATCGAACGAACGCGCAAACCTGGCGAGGATACGGCATGACGAGAACAAACCGCCAGGCGACGGCTGAATTTGGTTTACATGTATGATTTAACCTTCCCGTTGCACTGAGGGGCCTCAAGGCATAAGGCGCAAGAAATGTACCTCCTCTTGCTCCTTCGCCTAAAACGGCACCTACTCCCTACTTCATCAAGAAGTTGCGAGCGCTCCACTGTCATTACCGGTGGTTACGGCTAGCAACCAAACGTGACTCGGCTCTTATGTGCAGAACGATCTTGACAAGATCCACATCACCTCTTGGCTGGCAACTTATACATTGTGAATTCAGGTATTTGCCTGGCCCCTCGCAAATATCCACTACAACCTTCCCACCCTGCGCTGTGTGTATGATGTGTGGAACAGGGGGGGCATATCTTCACCCGTGGCAGCTACCATGCGAAACCCTGCCTTCCCCTGTATTTCGGGGCACACTCATCTAGTCACCCTAGTCAACTTTTCAGTGGATCGCTAAGGCTCAACTCCATTCCTGGTCAGCTCGCAAGATCACTTTATCCCAGGTCACCACTGTCCATCGACTAGGGGCACTTTACCCTCCACCATCGGAAGGATTTTCGACCCTGATAGGTCTCGATCCCGGGATATAGGGCTGGCGGGCAAGCTAGTTACAAGTTACAATCCGCACACAAGTGCGGGTGTGTCCGTAAAAGCCGGGGGGCCCATGGACGTTGTATTGGTATTGATGCGGGTACGCGGGAGGTCATCTTCATTCTCCCTCGTCCGCTTCAGGGTGAAGCGCCTCAGCGCGACGTGCCTGGCCTCCCAAATTTCCGAGAGGTACCTGGCCAATGCCAGGGGTGGCACCTCAGTCATAATGGTGCGCATGCTGCGCCCCTTAAAGACTAGATCACCATCATAGTTAGCCCGTATGCTCTTGTAAGCGGGACATTCATCGAAATCATGCAACTCATCTTCAACCGCTAAGCCATATTCTCATTCTCCCATAACAACCGCAATTCCACAATCGCAAAATGTTTAAAACGATCAACCTGGATCAACTGAAACAAACACCACGGCCGTTAACTACATAAGCAACCCAACCAACTCTAGCCTTCAGACGTCGACTTCGCATCCTTAACATGGTTTCGGATCATCTCGCGGCGTGCAGGACAGCGGCTTTCATTTGCAACCCAACGCCGGCGCGTCGTAGACACTGACAGTGTTTAGGTTGGCAGATAGCAGGTAGATGCCGGTAGGTAGGCTCTGTGTAGTCGACTGCAGGCAGATCCTGTCCAGGGCTTTCAATTCAACACCGCGAGTGGGGCGGTTAAGTGCTCAACCCGGCCCCAGTAACCCCCAACCGATCATGCAGATCTTTCAATCGACAATCCCCTCGTGGATGAAGCAGCAGTGCTCGCTCGTTAGGCCTCCCGTTCCTCCCTCCTGCCTCGTCACCATGCAGCTCTACACCCCCACACTTGCCAAGCCTGCTTGCTGCTCATGCCTGCTGCATACCATACGCCATCCATCACGCATATAAACAGGAGACATTCTTGATTCCCATCAGGGGTTGCGAGGTATGCAAAATTTGAACCACTGCATGGGGGCACCAGCACACTTCCGCTTTCTCCTCGCCATCGCCACCACCACCACCACCACCACCACCACCACCACCACCACCACCACCACCACCACCACCACGGGGTTGCGCTGGAATCCAACATCGATGGCAGCGGGGTCCGGTCCGGTCGGGTCGGGTTGGGCAGCAGCACGAGCCTACGAGCTCCTTCAACAAAAAAGACATCTAAAACTGGGCTATGAATGTTTAGGTGGGCCGCACATACGGCCCACCATCCGTCACTCCATCACACAACGCCCTGCATGGCTTAGCAATCACACCAACGTTTCCATCCTCTACCACGCAAACAACACACCGACACGAACGTGCATAGCACCACTATTACTATAAAATGAAATGCGCTTTCTGCACGCACTCACGTGCTCAGGCTCTTCGGACTCTCCAAAAACTCCCGGGGCGCCTTCGGAAGACGGATCTGCACAGGGACGAGTGCCTCACCTCACCTCGCCATGCCGGGCGGGGACAGTAACATTCAGAAGGAGCCCGGGGCGCCAAACCAGGAAGTCAGGTACCGTAATTTATGGCTTCCGGCAATGGTCCTGGAGTTGTATATGCCCCACTCGCAGTGACGAGTCACGCGGCAGCCGTCCTTGCAATTTGTTCTCTTTGTTTATCAACACTCCGAAACTGGACACTATCCCTCTTTGCTTCCTGTGCGGCCACGTGGGCAACATGCGCCCTCTTCGCGACTGACGTTTTGCTGACTGGTTTGGCCCGGATCACGTGCAAGTGCTATTCGGGTCTGACATCATCCTCACAGCCGCCATCTTCGCCATCTCCCCCGTCAACGCCACTCCTACAGCAGCAGCAGACTAAAATAGATGCATCCCATGATGCGGGTGCGGCAACATAAACTCCACCCGAGCACAGAAGCCCCGTGAAACTGCGGGTGACGACACCATGCAGCGACAGGAACAGCAACAGCCGCCCAGGTCCGCCGCCACCACGGCGCCCCCCTATTTTCTGACCCTAACCCCTAAACTGGTGCACAATACTCCATTAACCCCACCGAACGGGCGTGTATCAAGGGGACTCGCGATGAAAGGGTTGGGGGCCCCACCAAACGCCTTGAACCCTTATGAAAAGGTGGGGGCTATCCAAGCTGCAATCCCTAAGCCATTTGTGTCCCGATCCTAAATCGAGCCTGCGACCTTGCAATCACCAATCCTCATCCTTAAGGGATGGCTATTCCGGCGAAGAAAAAATTAACAACACTTATTGCGGGTGCTTCTGCCGGTGTTGGTGGTCCTGCTTCTTCTTGTAAAACCCCGCTCTAGACCTCTCGGTTGATCCTGATCCGCATCACCTCCTGTTTGAATGGCCCTAAACCCGCATCTGCTCATCCCTTGCACACGGCCTAGTGGATCTCCTAAGGGCCTAATGGCCAGCAGAGGAGCTTTTGGAGCCCTCCATACTTGCCTTCATCTCCGCCACCTTCATCGTCATCACCGCCAGCTCTCGCAACTCATAGCCGCGCCAATCAATATGCACGAGCCAGCTAGACATGGCACGGACGGCGCGCCCGAAGACTCTCCCTCGCGTTCCCAGCAGTCGTTCCCTCTCGCGCGCTGAGGAGCGGACATGTTCACATAATTGTGCAGCTGTTTCATCACCATCTGTTGCAAATGATGACAGCGCTTTCACAACTTTGCACATTGCAATGCGGCTCGTGTGGTCCTCCAGCTTCGGGTGCAACCGAAGCCATAACCTTGCGGTGGTGACAGAACCCTGTCTCCACTGCGATTCTCACGATCCCCGTCACGCTGATAGCCGCTCCGCCGCTGTTGCCGCAGCAAACGCCGCCGCCGCCGCTAAAATGGCTGCATTGAGCTCTTCGTCAACGCTGCCACCGTCCGGCTGTAGCATCGCCACCGGCGGCGCCGAGCTACGCGCCTGCAGCTGCCGCAGCAGCTGTTGCTTCTTCTGTTGCTGTGTCTGATGTTTCTTGTAATGCTGTTGGTACTCGTCAGTAAAAGCCGGGGCGGAAGTTCGTCCCGTTTGCTTCTGCTTCTGCAGTGTCTTCAGTCCCCCCTGACTCTCCCCCTCCCGATCGATCCCGACTCGGGACCGCTGCACCCGCAACAACCGGCGACTGTCCCGGGATCGAGCCACAACAGGAGCGGCAAGATCCTCCTCTTCAAGGTAGTGGAGTTGACAGCAGTCGTCGCCGCCCCCAGAGCTACAGTAGCGGCGGCCCCTGCTTGCGGTTGCCGCCTCCTGGCAACGCGGCACAAGGCCCAGCGCAGCCGCCGCCCTGGCGGCGCCCCGGGAGCCGCTCAGCAGAGACGACAACAGTTTTAAGGCGCCGCGCGACCTACGGGACGGAGATCCGTCTCCACCACCGTCGCCATCGGTGCTGAAGTCGGCGGTGACGGTGACGCCCGGTCCAGGGTCGTACCGCATCTCCTCCGCCGCCTCCATGGCGGCATACCGAGCTAGCATTCGTGCACGTTGCAAGTTGTCACCAAAGTTCCATTCGTCTGCATGTCCTGCTGTCGCCGCCGCCGCCGGCCGCGGCGGGGCCGGCGGTGGCGGGGTTGACATCTGTGCAAAGGGCAACGGTGCCGGCGGAGGAACGCAACCCGGCATTTCACACGCCACCGCTGCTGCTGCCGCCGCTGCAAGTTGCGACCCCTGTGCGCATGCCGTGGACTCAGCCTCTGCTGCGGGGCAGGTGTACAACATGGTGGCGCTGGCTGCAGCATCGATTGACGGCCGGAAGCTGCGCCGTTGACGGCTCGCGTCTCGATCGTCGTGCAAGGATTGACGCTGAGCCCGAGGCTGCTGGGGCTTCAGCTGCGGGTGCCGAGTTATTCCGGGCCCCATGGCGGCGGCCACAGCCAGCGGCGCTTCAGCTTCCGCTACGGCGGCGATACAGGAGGCGCCAACGCGGCTCCTTCCGACATCCCCCAGCGGCTGAAGGTCAGGTTGACAGCACACTGCAGTGCAGTTCTCTACCGCCCTCACTGGCTGGGCGTCCTGAGGGCCTGTATTGCTCAAGTCAGTGCTAGGGCGGCCCGCGCACCCCGGCAGGGACGTCACTGGTTGAATGGTTGCTGTCGCGGCAGTCACAGGTGAGAAATTGGCGCCGGAACTGGTAGCAGTTGAAAGCTCCGGAACCGAGTACGGGGCGGGATCCAGAGCCGACAGGGCGGCGAAGGTGTCGGCGAAGGGCTTAGTGACGGGCACGTGGGGGCCGAAGGTCTTGTCAAATAGGTGGAACTGCGGGGATTCGGGTATTAGGGTGGTATACCTTTGTAAAACGGTGAAGTAAAATAAAGTGCAAGCGTGAGATGTTGATGTCCATGACAATCTCCCCAAGGAAGATGAAACGCGGCATGACGGTAGTCAAGGCATGAAGCTGCTGAACTCCAGTCAAGAGAAAGCTGCATCATCGCACCTTTATCATTGCGGCTCGCTCTGCACCAAGGCGACATCGGCGCCAGGCCAGATAATGCGCGCTCGAATCACAACCGTCAAGCTTTTAAGCACTAAAAACGATTGGTAACAAAGGTATATGATTCCACGAGCGCGCCGTTGTTCCGCAGCGACCCTCAACAATGCGACGAGCCCGTTGGTAATGGGAACTCTGCACCACACGGCCGGTTATTCATAAAAACATTTATAGTATTACTGCAGGTAGCGACAAACCAGCTTTATAACATGATACCTTGGAGTGGAGGTCAGTTGGTTGGCTTCCGGTACTGTGGTGCCGCGGCTCGTAAGAGGGCGCTGGGGCTGTCAGGAAGCGGGTTATGTACTTACTATTATAACCATGTGGTTAGAGGGCTTGGCGACGTTTGCGTCGTGCAGATAAGTGCAACGTCTATCGGTTGAAAGCCTGTTACGAGCAGCGCGCCACAGCAGGCACGTATTTCATGTCTCTGCACCTGCCACTACATACTCACATCTATGCGGCGATCGCGGCCAGGAAAACGTCCTGTAAATTTGCGCTTTATGTAAGCTTGAAGTTTAGTATGAAGAAGATCTGCGGTCATGCCACCCTCCATAAAGAAGCTTGGATAACCAAGGGTTACGTCAGGTTGCTGCTGTCATAGCTAGCAGACGTACAAAGTCTGGTTTCGGAGCAACATGAAACCGTCTGAGAACAATGAACTGGCGAAGCAGTATATCCTGCTGGCGGCTTTCTCAATCGCAGCTAAGCTTTAAACCGTATGAGCTTCACGAACTGGACCACAACACGAACGCTGTGCTGCACTGTGCTTCTGTTAGCTCCATCCGCGACGCCGCCTCACCGCGAAGATGGGACATCTAAAGGTGTCTTTCACGGTGAGCCACTACGACCCGATTGCGACCGTGAATGACGCCATCATCGTCAGCTTTATCACACACAGGCGTTACAGACAGTAGGCTGTGCGGCAGCTCTGCAAGCAGAGTTTCATCATACTCAACAGCCTCCTTGCATCTTAGCACACCGTTGCAGGCCCCTCATCCACCCGCGTGCACATTTTGGTGGCTCTCATTAGATGCATTTACCTTCCGCCAACGCACGTTGCATAGCGCATAAGGGCCTCCCGACGGGTGATTCCGTCGCCACTGCCAACGGCCCGCGATAGCTCCATTTGGCGGCACCGCATCCACCATTACAAAACGGGGTATCACAATAGCTAGGAAGAGCGGCTCGCCTGCCTTTTGTTTCTACAGTGCAATGATGCCCTCTCCACCTCCGACCCATGGGTCATTCAACGCTGTCCCGGAGGGGAAATTACCACGCGCGTAAAGCCAAAGCGAGGCACAGTGCTCCGTAGTCCGTACCCATGGACTACGTCCCGTGCTAGCATGTCCCAAGCATCTTTCCCAGCGCATTGCGTGATCCCGAACTGCGGAAGCGACCGCACCGCAACTGTCATCCCATCTTCCCTCTGCCTCCCTTCTGGCCCGGCCTCTATTCCGTGAATGCGGTAGGCTGCCGCTGTACCCTCGGGCTGTCGACCCTCCCTGCCGCGTTCTGGCGCGTGCGCCGCCCCCCTGCCGTCCTGGCATCCCCATGACGTCATAATGCTGGGAGGGTATACGGAGAGTCGCGGTGGGGCAGGTGGGGCCAAGTGCTGGCGGGTGGGTGTCGTGTGTGGCCGGGCAGATTGAATTGCTGAAGGGGGCCCGAGGAGCAAAGTAACTATCATCTCCGGATCAGGCATCATACAGGTGTACGGAAGTAGAGACAGGCTTGCTCATCATTGTTGCTATGCGGGACAGGCAGGCAGGGAGTGGAAAGCAGCACCGCGCAGTCACAACTTGAGCAGATGTTTATTATGTTTGGGGGCCGGGTTGGTGTTTCAGCGAGCGGCATGTCTGTTTCTAGGCTTGGGTCTGGGTACTGCCGCGTATTTCCCTTCCAAGCTTGGCACTTGAGTCTTGTCTTTCCAGGGCATTGGGACCAGTGCCTTACAGTCGTCATCCGGCCCCTTCTCTCCTCCTCACCCACCCCTCACGCCACCACTGCGGCCCCTGGACTCTGCTCTCAACACCTTCATCTCAGTTATGCCGCCTCAGCCGCAACCGCGTCGCGGCCCCACGCTTGAGGCTTGGACCTTCAGCGCTGCCGACGGCGGTCGCTGGCACCCCCTGGAGTATGCCCCAGGCAGCTCATTACCACAAGTAAGGCGAAGGCGGGGTTGAGAACCGGCGCGCGCGTGTGTGTGGCAAACCTACACACCTACATACCACATGGCGGACACAGCTAATGCCACCTACCGCCAATGTGCTCCCCACCGGGGCCACCTTAGCTTCCTAACCACCGTACCGCCGCTGCTGCTTTCATTACCACCACTGTGGCCACCACCGCCGCCACCACAATCAAGCCTTCCTAACCGCCATAATTACCAGTGGGTGCCTGCAGCCCCGATTGACTAGCCAGGCCGCGCTGGTGGGCGATGAGCTGTGGTTGGTTGGCGGCTGGGACCCCTCTGCGGGCCCAGGCATGCCCCAATTTCTGAATGACGTGTGGGCCCTGGACCTGAGGTCGTGCAGCTGGAGGAGGGTGCAGCTGGAGCCGGCGGCAGAGGGACAAGAGCTGCCCCCCATTAGCAGGTGCGGGCTCCGCTGTGGAAGTGGGTCGGCGGGTCGGGTGGCGGTCGGTGGGTGAGCGGGTATCATTCGTGCCGTGCGTTTCCCTCTGTGTGCAGGCCCGGGCTCAGGCGACTTGTGGTGCTCGGGGACTCTTAACTGGATCAGGGACACATAGCTTTGCACACGCAGGCATGCATACAGCCGTACCCACAGGAGCTTGTGGGTACAGACGTTTTGGCGGCGCCCGCAGTGTAAAGGGAAAAGCTGTTTGCGCTGTTGATAATTGGTTTTTACGTCAGCTCTGGATTATGTTTCCCCTTGAGGATTCCTCCTGCAAGATTTTTTCCCGGTCACGTTTGACCACCTCAAGCTTGGTCCCCTCCTGCTTTCGGGTCAGTCCTGCTTCTTGTACACTCAATTCCTGGCAGCAGCTTCACTCGTTCGTGGTTCGTCTTTACCCTCCTGCCTCATCCCCTCCCCTCCCCCCGGCTCTGTTGAGTACCCCTTTTTTGCAGGTTCGCGCTGGCGGCTCTGCCAGACGGCCGCTTAGTACTTCACACGCACCGCTGCGACGACCACGTACTGGTGCTGAATCCGTCGGCGGCGAGCGGGCTGGCGGTGACAACAGCAGCGGCCACGATGTCAGGCGACCCCCGCCAGGCTCCGCCCGGAGGAGCTATCCTGAGCAGGCAGTCCGTATACGGAGCATTACCAGGCGAGGAAGTGGCGAGAGAGGGCAGGGAGAGGTGGCGTATGTTGGCATGCGGATGGGGACCAAGGTGGTGGTTCAGGGGTCTTGCCAACTACATCTTCCTGCGCATCTAAGCTGTGTTGTATTGTAATGTAATGAAACGCTGTTACAGAATGGGAGGCTTCTGGGCCAATTGAGCACTGTGTTGTGTTGTTGCTGAGGACCCGAGGGCTTAGGCTTGCAGGGGTAGATGCAGGCATTGTAGCCTCTCCTCCCTCTACAGTTATGCATACTGTTCTGATGCTGATGCCTGTCATAGAGACGTAGATCGTACCGAACTGATGCTTCTGTAACCAAATAACGTCTAACCGCTAACTGCTAGCCTTTACTTGGTTTCCTGCCCAGCCGCAGGTGCCCAGAGCCCGCCGTCCAGGGGTCTACATTCCCTGACTGTCGCTGCAGCACCGCTGCTGCCGCAGCAGCAACAGTCGGAGGCTGTCACTAGCACCGGAGCCGGCGGCAGCACGGCGTTGTACATGTACGGTGGCGCACCTCAATCGGGCCCGATGTACGATGATCTTTGGATGTTGGACACAGGTTCCATGACTTGGCGGCAGTTGCACCCCGAGGGCCCAACACCACATGTAGGAGTGCTCGGTGAAGAGCATGGGGAGATGTGAAATGGGCATGGGGCCGGTGTTTTAAGTGGACTGCGGGCTCGCCACATTCTAACCCGCCCTTAATTGTCCCGTGCAACGTAGTGTATATGTATGGCCTTATGAGGAGCCTCAAGGAAAAGTCCTATGGCGACAAAACTAGAGCGCACAATCTAGGTGCCAGAAGCATGCATGGCATTTCGGGGCGGTACCATCTCCCAAAAGGTTCTGACCGCACCCCTTCCTACTGTGGATGCCCTTGGGTCGTGTCACCCTATGACCCCATAGGCTCGGTGCTCCCATATCTCCGGAGCCTGCAGCGGCGGTAGTGGCGTCACGGGTCGTTACTTGATCTTTATTGGTGGCTCATACTACGCCCTGACGGGACAGCTGCAGCCGCGGGACGACGTCATCTTGTACGATACGCAGGTACGGCGGTAACGAGTGTGTGAGTATCGTCAAAGTTGGACTGCTTTCTGCGCTCCCTACTCTATCAGTGATTCTTTTGCCACCCCATGAACTATTGTCCTGCATGCTGCACGGCCTGGAAAGGTGGGTATCAATTAAATTTGGTTGGCCTGTATGCGGGATTCCCGGGTTTCATGCTAGCCAGGAAAGCGGCCCTGTCGGTGGTCCTTCACCCGCAATTCCGCTCGTAAAAACCACCCACAGACCAATCGCTGGTTGGAGGCTGAAGTGGAGGGTACACAGCCCAGCCCCAGAAACGCCGCTATCATGGTTCCACTCCGAACCAAGGGGTGCGATAACAGTGGTGATGGTGGCTGCGATAGATTCGTACTGCACGGCGGCTGGTGGCCATTCGTGGAGACATACGATGACACGTACATTGTAACCGTCACTTCAGTGGACGGAAGGAAGTGAGGGCTCGGATGAAGCGACGGGAGGTTTGCTCGTGCACCGGGATTTGGATTGTTGGTCGATTTGTGTTGGAACGCAGCACGAAAAGCGCTTGCAGCTGCCCCTGGGAACGGGCCCGGCCCTTATTAGGACGGGGTTGCGCGTCGTAAATTATTTCGCGCGTCACACATTAGTTCTTTTCGTCTCATCGAGGCGGGAGGTGTAGCTGCAGCTCGGACAATGAAACTCGGGGGCAAAATTTTGGCTCGGTGCACCTTCATCACAGCAGACATGTCCACGGGGAGGGCCTTATGGTATGAAGGTACCCAAATGGGATGGTCTTATGGCGCCGCTCCCAGCGCGCTGCTCTGAAACCTAATTGACCGGGAGCTGCTCCCCCGGGCGCCGACCGTTTAGAAAGCTCCAAATGACGCAACTGGTTCGGTCCACACTGCAGGGTGTTACTGGCTTTGCCGTTGTAGCGCACAACTTAGTAGCACGAGTGTGCTGGCGGTACGCGTCATGTGCAGTACGCCGAGTGCTTCACTGGTATCCGCGCCTCCGGCGTGCTTTCTGTTACTACACCGCTGTGCCTTCGCCTCATTAGCGAGACCTCACGGGTGGAGTGCTAGAGAATATAGGATATTAGCACCAAGGAGTAAATACACCAAAATGAAGCGCATTTTCATAATGCTAGTGGCGGCGCTTGTCTCGACCCTTGGGTCGGGGCAGGCCGCACTGACAACGTCACATCTGCGGGCAGAGCCCCATAATTCCACAATATAAAGCATCATTCGTCAATTCAGCATAACTTGAAGAGGCATAACCAAGCAGTGCTTACATGTATTGCAGCAAGATGCGTTTGGAGCCTTCAGCGCGAGGTGACCAAGCGCAAGAAGGTGACACATGAACAGGAGTCGTCGTTTCTAGCGGCTTATGTATGTACAGTAACAACGGATTCCTATGCCCGCACACCTTTGAAGCATGGCTGAGGGTTCACCCTAGGTGCAAGTGGCACACTATCAGTGACAATCTGTAAATATACTTTGTGGGTATTACAGGAGAAATGTAGCTATACTACATCATGCGAACGGCGATTTTCGGTCCATGCCTGACGGGACGATTGCCTCGCGTAATGCTTTGCCGATGCCTAAAAGGTTGTTTCCCGACGTATGCCATCCATAGAATATTGTTGTTTGCATACATTAGCATTTGTTTGCAGCCTTTCAATTACTTCATTGCTGGTAAATCAGCTTCTAAAAAGTTTTCACCAAACAAAGACATAGGAGCCTTTACCATGGAGCGCGAGCAGGCGAGCTCTCCTCAGCTTTGCGAGACGGGCTGTGGCTTTTTTGCGTAAGTAGCACTTCTTCAAGCTTTGCTTTTTGTCGCTTTGGAGAAAGCCCTACTCGCTTTTCTGCCCCATCTTTGTGAGCGCTGCGCAAAGGGTCGGCAAATCCTTATTTTATATGGGCCCTTTTCCCTGCAGGAACGTTGGTTGTGGAGGTCTCTGTAGCAAGTGCCATCGCGAGCTGGCACGAGCCGCTGCTGCTTCGCAACCAAAGCCCGCTGTGGAGCAGTCCTTTGCCAAGCCAGCGCAAGAAACGCAGCCAGTAAGTGAGCCTGGGGCGTCGCCAGCACCCGAGGCGAGCACCAGCAGTTCCTCGGATGCGGCCCCCAAGATGGCGACGCGGTGCCTGGAATGTAAGAAAAAGGTTGGACTGACCGGCTTTAAGTGCAAATGTGGAAATATCTTCTGCGGGCAGCACCGGTATGCAGAGAGCCACGACTGCCCCTTTGACTACAAAGGCGTTCACAAGGAGAAGCTTGCTAGCAGCAACCCGGTGGTGCAAGCGAGCAAGGTCCAGAAGATTTGATTGTACCGTAGTCAAGTAGTATGTCTTGCTGGAGCGAGAGTGTCGGACATATACAGTGCGCATGTCATTATCGGCATGTCGTTGGTATGTCGAGTGCAGGCCTTACCCAGTGTAATAGTTGTATCGGGGCATTTGCAGCGTGCTTGGGCCATTTGCAAGATCATTACTCTAGAAAGGGTCGACTATGTTGATGCATGGATTAGTGGCTGGCACGGTGTGAAGGGTGGCCACGTTCTGATTTGCGTGAGTAAGAAACGCTGACACTTGATTGTACTGTTGACTTTCAATTCAGGTTCCGTGTTTGTTGAACACTAGTGTGTTATTATCACACATGTGGGATGGCAAGAGGTGTATCCGTACGTGAACATACCTATTCCAGGCATGTGTATCTCACACGGACACGGCGGCTTTGCAATCTGGAGAATGATTTAACTTGTAGCTAATCATGGCGACATATTACAGGAGGCCTTTTACCCCACAGGAAAGGAACTATCACGAGTCCCTTGCAGCAAACAACATTGCACAATGCAGCATATCGATGCTAAGTAAAGCGAGAGGTCAGCAATTATAAACATGTCAAATCGTAGGGTGTCGTCACAGATACATGAAAAGCACATCGGTGCAAGCATGTGGAAAGCAGATCGGCAATACCGTCCGCATGCATCTTCAGCGCAATTACTTAATAACCCGTCAATGAGGCGCAATTCCAAGGCACCGTCAATGATACAAGACAATCCCCGACTCTTCAATCCCATTATTCCGAACAGAAATAGCCAAGGCAAATCAACCAGCTGAACAGCGCCTTTGACCCAAGTTCATTCATGGTATTATGGACCGTGTTGGCCGACCCACTACCGCTGCTGACCAGCACCCGGCATGCCACCCTGCCCGTCTGCACCACGGGAAAGCATCAACTGCATGTCCTGCATAATGTTAGGCGCGACACCGCGAGCAGCCCCGGGGGGCAAAAGGAACTGCTGCGCCGCGACCTGCGGGCGCTGTGCGGCCGCCAACGACTGCAGGGCGCCGTATCCACCCATTGCCGGGTTCTGTCCCCACACTACTTGGCCTTGCCATCCAGCCTGCCCAGCCAACGCTGCGTTGCCCGCAATGCCCGCTGCGGCAAGGTTGGCCTGCAAGCCCGCGCTTGTTGCACCTCCAACGGCACTGCGAAGACCGGCAGCTGCCTGGCCTCCAAGCCCGTAAAGGTTCACACCGGCTGTGGGAGCGGCAGCACGAGGCGCAGTGTTAAAACCACCCGCGCCCGCAACGCCATACATGGCTGGGTTGTTGCCTACGCCGCCCATTTGGACGTTAGATGCGCGCGCCCCGCTTCCTACGCCGACGCCGTAGTCGCGATCCTGGTCACTGGTTTTCCGCCGGCGGCGAGCCCAGTTGGGGACCAGGTTAGCCTGGTCGTCTTCCTCCTCGTCATCCTGCTGTAGGAAGAACATGTGGGCAGACCAGTGTCAAACAAGTATGGAAAAACATCATGCGTAGCTTTGCAGTACCAGGCAACCAACATACTGCATTTTTAAGTAGGCTCAACAATCAACCATCAACATCGAATGCATTGAATCACTAATGAACTCACAAGGGCGCCAGCGAGCTCGGCGTAGTTGACACGACGCGCGCGAGCTGGCCGACCGCTGGCCGTAAGCTGCACAGGCGGCTCATACGAAGACGGCGCAGATTTCCGACTGGGAGGAGCAGCAGGTTTCGGCTGAGCACGCACGGCGGCAGCAGCTGCTGCAGCAGCGGCGGCATTGTTGCTCATCTGAGCCTTGACGATAGCCGCGCTCATCTCGTACTGACGTTGCTGCGCCGCGAGGATCTGTTGATTGAGGTCAACGCTGCCGACACCAAGTCCCATGCCTGCGACACCGAACTGCGCCAGACCGGGCATGCCACCCAAGCCCTGAAGGGCGTTGCCCATTCCAACCGCAGTCATGCCCGCGCCAGGAATAGCGCTCATGGTGGTGCCAACCCCCATAGCGGTAGGGACCTTGTAGTCGCCAGCCTCGACAGCTTGCTGCTCGGGCTTGTAGTAGTTCTCGATTGCTGTCTTCTCCTCCACGCGAGGCTGGTGATGCGTCATCTGGATGGGAAGTTGCATGGTGGCCGCCTGCATGGGCGGCATCTTTGACTGCTCCACAACTGCGGCAGCCGCAGCAGCATCTGCAGTTACCGCTGCTGCTGCTGCAGCAGCAGCAGCAACGGCAGCAGCAGCCTGGTCGCCTGGCTCAACCCTGCACGCCAAAGCGACCAGCAGCATAAGATATCGGTCAACTATCGGGCGAGCTTTGACCTATAAACAATATCACAGCGCGGCTAGTTAATTGTTACAACTGAGATTTGACAATATGATGTAGACAGACATCATTGAAAGGAAAGTGCAACTTTCCAGAAAGTCAACTCAAATTATACATGGACAGGACTAAAGCAGCCGTCCAAAATCAAAAAATACTCACCCTTGCGCGTTTTCTGAGGCACGGCCAGCATCCAGGCCTTCTGAAGGTGGTGCGCCAGCGCCAACGACATCCGCACCAGCACCATCGCCAGCCTCGTCCTCTGGTTCCTCCGACTCGCTTCGCCGCCTCTTGTTGGTACGAGCTTCCTCACTCATGACCTTGACAGTATGTGGAAAGTCGCAAGCGGACTGCCAGCTGCGCGTACGGACCTGCATCACAACGTAACAACGCCAACAGCAGCCATGACGAAGACGCATCGTCAGCAAAGGATTCTAAATGGGCTCATGCAAAAGTCCACGCTCCCAGATGGTCGGTCAGAGGGCTGGGTGGGTGGCTACGCAGGACAAAAGTCGGTTTGGGGGGTGAAGGACTGGCCCAAGAACTGTGCGGCTGCGCATCAGGCAACGTGCACCTAAAATTACTGAGGATAAGGCTTGTAAGTAAGCGGCCTAAGCAAGGCCACAAGGGCTTGTGCGGAAGAGCGCTTCCCCCATCGGCAACCGAGTCTCCAAGGCAAGCTCCCAAATCACCCACAGGCAGGCAAAAGCAAGCAGGCGCGGCGTCAAAGGGCTCGTACGATGACTCAAAGCATCAATCAGCCAGGTGCGACAACGAGGAGAGAGGAAATAAGCCCCCCGGTCAAGCGGTCTCACTTGGGAGAGGCGGTTAAGAGCTCCGCACTCCTGCTGCTTGGCGTTGAAGAACCGTCCAGAAGGACCGGATTACTGTATGTTAAGGCAATCTAGGCCCACTTAAGGTGCTCAACAAGGCTCGGCTGTTTGCTGAAGCAAGTCCGGCTCGGTGGGCGGGGCAGTGATGCTGTTCCTCAGGGCCCAAGTTAAGCCTTTGTCAGAGTTAAGGGCGCCCACGGCAGTGAAAAGGATTTACAGATTCAAAGTTATGTTGCATTGGTCAGTTCAAAGTTTGAGAATCTGATAGAGAGAGGAGAAGAAGGCTTGCCCATCTAGAGCTCCAGGAGGGGACCGCCGGAAATTTTGTGTTTGACCTTGCGCTGCTCTCACCATACAGAAGGACTTGAACGCTTTGGGGCAAGGGTGTGTTGTTCGAAGAATGAAGCATGCTACGGTGATTGCTGCGGATGCGAGCAAGGATGGTCTCGTAGCGACTTTCGACATTTTCCCGACGACGGGGCGCAGAGGTGCTCCACAAAACGCGCCGCCCGCGCAAGCGAGTTGCATCAGTAATGACCATCGTGTACTCGGCCGGGCATCGGAACGAACAGACTGCCAGTAGGCGAAGACCAGCAACCGAATCAAACGGAGATCGCTCAGCCTTGCATACGTTTATGACTGTGTTACACTCTGACGCCCAAGTTCTTCTTTCATATGATTTGTGTGGACCTCTATGGGGGTCTCGACCTGACTGGAGAGCGCGTCGCGCGTGCAAGTGGTCTCCGGGTCGGTTGCACGTACTCTGCGGCTTCGCGGCCCTGTCCCTAGCCCAGATACCCTCATCCCCGCACCTCGTTCTCTCCTTAAGCTACTCTTTTTGCATGCTCAATTTCCTGGCTACGCATGGACTCATAGCAGGACGTCGTTAAAGATGGCTTCGACGGATTTTGCAGATGCGATTTACGTCCTTGCGCGCAATACTTTACAAGGGTTTGTACATGTCGCAGCGCGCTGAAAGGCACCGAGACATACCTGGACACAGTTTCAGCGGAGCCCTGGGGTCAACGGGTCAAGCTGCAGACACTTCACTTTTACGCATCCTGATCGGTGTCATTCCAGGATGTCAGCGCCTCCGAAACTGAGCGACCAGACAGCCTTGACGCTAAACCCGGCTAGATGAGCTGTTCAAGACCCCGTCCACTGCTATCCGCGTGTGCTTCCGTGCGTAGAGCAGCGAACACCAGCCTATTAAGAAACCCATGCAATGCCAGCGCACCGCACATAGTCGCTGTCAGATCAGCTAGGCGCCATGACGACATCGCTATCTCATCATGATGTTCCCTAGTGCCGCCATGCGACGTTGAGCATCGTGCACTGTGGCGCAGGTTCTCCCGCTTATCGCACGCCGAGCGGTGCCCGAAGACCCCCCAACCAGCACGGAGCCCCCATTGTTGCATAACTTCAACAGATTTCTCCCATGTAACTTAGGTTATGAAACCGCACGATGCGATGGTCCGCAGAAATGTCACCCGTTTCTGTAGGCCCTAATTTTCCCGTGCTAGGAAGGCGGAAAGGGGAGGACTAGGAAGGAAGAAAAGTCGCCTTTTGCGCGCGGACCCGGCCTGGACAATTTCGTCGAGAACAGGAGGTCCTAGGAGCATCGGGGGCCTTGCGGCCCTCTCCTATTGCACTTTGCTGTTGCGACCACAAAGGCAAGAAAGGGACGCAGGCCACCCAGCGGCACATGGGCAAAGTGGGCAGCCTCCTCGGCATCGCACTCGGGCCTGAGGGCTGCTAGCTTTTCGTTCGCGCGCACGCCGCCGCCCACATGGGGGTATTGTCACGGCGTCGCGGAGAGAAGGGGTGAAAGGCGTGAAGAAAAGCCAACGGAGGGCACCCTCCCCCGGGAGCCAGGACCAGCGGCTGAGCAGCACCTCGCGCAGATCAGCCAGGGTGGCATTACCCTGCTAAGTGGCAGGTGTGAAACATTGCATTCGCAACCCGCCTCAATCCACCCCGTCCAAATTCATTCACATGGCCCTGGGCGCCTGCCTACAATGATAACGCTCTACCGTGTAGAACGCAGTACCGTACAGTACGAACTCAAAATGCCCTTTTCGCATTTAGGGAAGTGGTGGCACCGCCCAGCTGTAAGGCCAAGTACTCCCAGCACCTCCTATTCCCTGTGCCGAAACGGCGTACACGTACTTGGCCTTACAGCTGGACGTTGCTACTACCTTCCCTAAGCAAAAAAAGGGCTGGGAGCAGCGCTTCCGGATACCAGCGTCAGCGGCAACCCGAACCGGCCGACGCTCCGTTGAGATGGCAGAGCAGCCGGACGCAGTGACCCACCCAAAGCTGGTACTGTTCCCACTCAGCTGCAGTCCCCGCGGTGCAATCTTCGTCTTTCTGCACGGGGCCCCTTCCTCTGGCTCGGTCCTTCCATCCATTTGGGTTTCCGTCTGACTTGGCGGGCCTTCTTTTCCACGCTCCCCCCACCCACCCTGCTCAAGAAGCCTGTAGGCGCTTTACAGTGCCGTCTAGCCCTGTCCGTTAATCTGTCTGGCAAGTCCATATCACCATGTCGCCGTCTTTCAGCCCGTCAGTCAACTCAGCTTCAACCCGCGCATTTGGCTTCTTTCCCTGCATAGGCCCCTGCACGGAATAGCCTCCGGGGCTGCGCTGCTTCGAAGCCGACAGCCCGGACAGCGAGGTGACAATCAACTGCCAACGGTAAACCCTCCAAAAGCCTACCTGCACGCTGCGACATAAGGTTGCTCGTATGCCATCTTCGCCAGTACCTGTCCTCGCGGCTCGGATCATTAAAATACAGTAACATAATCACGTTCAGGGCACACATCTTTTCCGCAACCCGGCGCAACTAGGCCGTTGCGCGTAGCCACACCAGACGCCGTCGCGTCTCGCAGACAACAACTCCAACATCAGGCCAAGGGAGTCACAGCTAAACTAACCGACCGCTGCTGCGATGATTGGTATGCTACCATACTTCACACGTGGCCCAACAAACTGACCGGAAGACTTGCCGTACCTCTCACCCCCCCCCCTAAAAAGGCCACTCGCTCCAGCACCTCACACCTAGCCTCGAGGACCGTCATGTGACCTAACTGGTTCTCAGCATGACACTGGTCCCTTCCTCCCTCCCTCGCACCCTCTGCACCCCCCGCTCGGTTTCAAGTCGGTTCCAATCCTCGACGGAGGCCATCCAGCTTGGCCCTACCGTCCGGTAGGGGTTACACGGCACTAGGTGGGCCCGGGACTGCCCGTGGGCCCACCCAGCTGACTGCCTGCCGGCTCGGGGGGCAACGTGGCCCTAAAAGACAACAGCCGCTCCTGCCGCAGCGGAACCTTTATGCTACCGCCGTCAAGCGCGGTTTATGTTACCGTAGCAGTCGCGTAGCTAAAGATGAACTACGTCATAACTGAACTAACGCAGGCAAAGTTATTTCATTTAGGACCGCTTGCAGAGCTTTCCCCGTCCTGTCCTGCTGCTAGGACGGACCTGTATGGTACAGCAGCTTGGTTGCGCAGCTTGTAAGATGCCCCGGACCCGGACGTAGCTGGCGAACCCACGTCCCTGCAGCAGTGTCTTCCCTTACAATAAGGGCGCTGCTACTGCCGCGCGCTGTAAGTACCTTCTAGTGGTCTTCTTCCATGGGGTCTAAGTCCTCGGCGGGAGCTTGCCCCCCCCATTCCCCCAAGGGTTCCCCCTCCCCCCCTCCAGCTGTCTCCACCTCCTCCTCCTCCTCCTCGCCGTCCTCGTCGTCACCATTTCCCCCCCGTTGATCCTCATCCGCACCGCCGTCTCCCCCCTCCTCCCCCCCTTGCTCCATAGCCTCAGAGCTGGGACCCTTCCCCGCACGCTCGACCCCCATCTCAGGGGAGGGGGAGTTACGCCGCTGCCGCTTCGCAGGTCGCCGCTGGGACCGTTCCAGCACGCTGCTGCCTCTGACGTCCTCCCCCTCCTGCTCCTCCTTTTCCGCGGCCGCCGCCACGGCCCCCTCTTCCTCCTCTTCCTCCCCTTCCGCCTGATCCTCCGACCCAACGCCCTCAACCGCCAGCTCAGAGCCCGACGACGGTGACCCACCGCGGCGTGGCCGCTTGCTGCCCGCGCTAGGTACGGCAGGCAGGCGGTCGCCGCGCAGCGCCTCATGGAGCATCTTGTCGTACGCGGCCGTACTGTAGTCCACTTCCTTGCGCGTGCGGCGTGATCTGATTTGCGCGCGGGGCGCCGGGCAACAGAACGCGAGGGAAGCGTCCGGTGCGCATTAATCGCGAAACCCTAAAATCTGAAAAGCGGACCGTGGTGCCAAACGGTGCTTCTCAAGAACCAGTGTGGAGCCCTAGAAATCTTTCTCCCTTACCACAATCACCAACATGCGTTTACGCATGTGAAGTTCAAGCTGTTGACGTGGGCGCATCGGACCGGCGTGACCCGAATCCCATTCGCTGTGCTCTCGCATCTCCATGTCAGCGACGCTTCCATCCAACACCTTCCCTCCCAAGCACCCGACCCACCCGCAACCACCTTCCCCCGCCCCAACCTGACACTCACCTGGTTTCGTAGTACTCGGAGCCCAGGGCGAAACGCAACTTCGCAGCTAACTTCTGTTTCCTTTCCCTTCGCTCTATCTCGTCCACCAGCACCGAAACCAGCTCCGTTGAGATCTGGATCCAAGGCGCGTGGTTGGTCGGGGCGGTATTGGCTAACTGAGCAAACGTGGACGGCTGGATCCGACGTGGCAGGGCTGTCCCGCTTTCCCCCACTACCGCCCGCCCGTCGCCCCCGTCCTCCACTTGAAGCCGTCACATCGGGGTGCAGGGATCGGGGTTCAGTTGGGTTTTCATTACCCCTCCCCCCCACACACATTCCCCACACTTCTGTGGAGATGTGGACGTACCTTTTCCGCTAGGTCGCGGTCCTGCTGCTTCTTGCTGCGGCGCCGCATCTCCTCCGCCGCTCCCCCAAGCCCCTCAGGCCCCACACCGAGTAACTCCCACCGCCCTGGCAGGGTAAAGGGGGGAGGGAAAGAAACAAGGGCAGGGTTTTTGTGGGTGGGTCGCAAACGGATATGCCCTTTTTAATACCTCTGCGCCTTCATTTAGGCTCCCACCAGTACGACGGAAAGATAAGGCCCCACCAGTCATCATGGCCAGAGAGGCGGGCGCACAGCGAGAAGGGGCTCAAGGACGGAAAGGGGGAGATGGACAGAGAGACTACGTCTGCAATATGCGTGTGTTGTGTGCGTATGTATACATGTGCTTTGTTTGCGTTCATAAGCGTGTACTTGGGTGATCTATCTTGTAAGTTCCATTACGAGTCCTGGTGGATCGGAGAACACCGAGCTCATGTGTCTCTGTGGACCTAGGGCCCTTCAAGGAACTTGGGTGAGGTGTGTATTGGCGGGGAGAGATGCGTATGTGTGTGTGTGGGGGGGGATGTGTACGGGAGGGAAGAAGGGTTGGGGGGCCAGAGAAAAAGCACATGCAGCAACAGGAGCCGGTGGGGATGGTGAGGCTGGGGAGTATGGGGGTATAGTAAAGCCCTTTGCACACATGTGCATGCGTGAGCGCTGTGCGAGCGTGGGTTGTTTCCCACCGCCACATACGCCCATGATACATACAAACAAACAAACATACATACATACACAAGCACCTGCAATCGCTTCCGGCGGTAGCTCGTACAGAAGGTACGGCGGCGTCGCCTTCTTGGCACCTTTCTTCTTTTTGCCGGAGCATGCGCCCCCGTCCGCCCCCTTGGCCGCGCCCCCCTTGCCCCCACCCCCCCGGGCCCCCTTGCTCTCTTCCGGGGTTGGGGAGGGCGCACGGGGCTTCTTAGGTCTGCATGGGACAAGTGGGTGGGTGAGTGGGTGCGTGCGTGGGTGAGTGAGTAGGAGTCACTGTGCATTTAACAGTTAGAAGCAACGGCTGACAACGGCTGACGGGCAGGTGAGTGGGTGAATGAGTGTGGAAACCGACAACGGCCCACCAGCCGTACTCGTGCTCGTACCCGTGCTCATACCTACATAGCAGGTTGGACGAAGACAACATCAAGTCCGCATGACGACGTGTGACAGCTGTGTGACGCTCTCGCCGTTGTCGACCTAGCCCACTACACATCAGCAGACGTACTCGTACCCAGGTAGCACGTTGCCAAGAGTCCCTGTCCCTGTCCCTGTCCTGGCCAACCCCCGCTACCCCCACGCGCCCCCTCCTCACCCCCCACCCCCCCCCACCCCGCTGCCGACCTACTTGGGCCATATGGGCAGCTGCTCCCGGTACAGCCGCATCTGCAGGTCCGGCAGCCGCCCCACAACCCAGAACGCCGCGCCGCCGCTGTCATGACCCATGGGTCGCTTGCGGATGTCCTCAGCAACCAGAGCTGCGGGCGGCAGCGACCCGTCGGCGCCTCGTCGGCGACCCCCCCCGGCTCCCACTGGCCCTCGGCTGCCGTTGGAAGAAGGGCATAATGCAAGTGGGGGGGTCCGGGTACCGGGATGAGCAGGAGAATGGAACATCCAAGCCCCGGGGGTAATGTTCGCTACCAGCCGCCCGCCCCCCCCCACGAATCCCCTTTTACTACTGCACCGTATGGACCTCACCGGGGGCTCCCGCTTGGCTGGCTGGGATGCCCTCTGTCCTGCCGTTGCACATTCTTTGCCTCGCTCCGAAACCACCCACGTGGCTCCGCACGAAACACCCTCCCTTAGCTCCTCGCCCCCCGCCCACGTGTTCACTTCCTCGGTCGCTCAGGCACGAACACAACCCCCAAATTCCCTTCCCACACCGTGGCCTGGACTCCTGGTGCTGGTCCCCACCCAACCCCACCCAACCCCACGAAAACTGACCGGACGTCCCGGACCCCACCGCCGCGGCCGCTCTTGGCTGCTGCTGCTGCTGCTGCCCCCGGCCTGGGGGGCAGCAGCAGCCCATCAATGACGCCTTTCAAGTCCTCCTGCTCTAAGCGCAAGTCACACAGCAACTTCAGCGCCAAGACCCTGTGATAGGCGGTGGAAGAGAGAGGGGTTCCGACGGAAAAAGAGGTAAGGTCGCATTTACGTACAGACGTACAGAAATACAGACATGGGGCAGGCGGCACATGCATATACTTTGACGAAATGGTGCCCGGGTGGCACCTCAAAGACCCCTCAACTCTTAATGACCGGGTCAGGCACCCAGTGGGGGCCGGGGGAGGGAGTAAGGAGGCAACCCTGAAGTCACCACGTTAACATCATTTACACATACGTATGTACGGACACGCACAGACATACAGACACACGCACCTGTTCCGCGGGTGCAACGCCGCGTAGCAACGCCACTCATGACCCTTCTCGGCCCAGAATGGCAACAGCGGATCACCGCCGCAGTGCGGACCGCGGGCATCGCCACATCCTGTAGCAGCCGCCGCCGCCGCCGCCGCCGCCAGGGCCCCCGAACCCGACGCGGAGCCGCCGCCCTTCGCCGCTGCCCCCGCGCCACCGCCGCCGCCACCACCACCGTTGCTACCAGCGGCTGCCGCCGCGCGCTTCGGTCTGAGATTCCCGCCAGGTCCCTTCCTGCCGTCTCCGGCTCTGGCATTACCCGCCTCCGGCTGCTCCGGAGACGACGCAGCCTGCTGCTGCTGTTGCGGTTGCAGGTCGGTTGTCTGTTTTTTTGGTCGTTCTTGTTGCGGTGGTTGCTGCTGCTGCGGTGGCGGCGGCAGTGGCGGTGCGGGTTTGAAGTAATCGCGAGGATGGCGCCCAGGATGTAGCAGGCGGTATTCCGTTGCGATTCGGTGGCTGAGTACGGCAGGCCACGTGTTCTCGTCCAGGCGGGACGAGCGACGTGCAACACCCTGGATCGAGAATTTCAAGAGGGAGAGTTTTCCCGGGGGAAACGCACATACACACATACACACACACACGGAACAAACCCCAGCCAGCTGTGTCACGTGAGTAGATGACGTGGACAAGAACGCGGGCGCCCGGAGACATGGACGAGGGACATGGACGAGATGTGGGCGAGCCGGGGGTGTACGGGAGTAGCATGGCGGAGTATCCGTCTATCTCTGGTATCTGCTTCAATCGTCAGTGGTCCGCTTTACATTCCCTTCCCTCCCATCCCCCCCGCTCCCTTCTTTACTTCAGCGTCCCCCCTCCCCTTCCCCCCCCTCCCCACACACACATAGGCAGCACCTGCAGCAGCCCCAGGTGTAAGCGGCTCAGCAAGCTGCCCGGGGCGCCCACAGAGTGAACCAGCTCGTCGACTAGCAGATCAGCCGACCATGCCCCATCTACCAGTACGGAAGACAGTACGGCAGCTGCGGCGACGGATGCGGCCTCACCGCCAGTAACTGCATCGGGCCCCTGGCCACAAAGCACGCCCCGGAAGATGGAGAGAAACTCCAGAACCGCCGCAAACTGCAATATGATACGACACAACACAACGCGGACAGAGAGCACGCACAGCACCATGAAAGAGGACAGAAGAAATTGCGTTACGAAGAAGCAGCGTGTCACATCGAGCCAAGACGGTAGAAGCGAAGATGCGCCACCGCGGCGGGGTATATACGCAATGTCGGAGTTTGGGGGGTAAACACCCCCTGGGGAAACACACCCGGCGAAATACCAGGATGCGGTTATTAATGTAGCTTACAGCCCAGACCCTCTCTCTCCCGCCAGAGGGGATACAGAGGGGATCTCCATCCCACTCAGACCCCGCCCCCATCCAGCGGTTCAAACCGCCGCACCCTTCAACAGATATCCCTCCACTCTGTACGGAAGCATCCCCCGCCCACCAAATAACCGCTGCCGTACCTCCCACATCGCCGACACCTCCGCCGTCGCGCTCCGCGCCGCGTCCTCTGCCACGTCGCGGACAAAGCTCGAAGGATCGTCGACGTCAGAGTCAGATCCAGATCCGGACTCCGAGTCGGAATCAGAATCTACGTCAGATCCAGATCCGCTTTCGGATCCAGATCCCGCGCCGTCCTCCCGTGTACTGGACGGCCCCCGAGAGCGGCTGCGGCCCCGAGCTTCCTCCTCGCCCTCTTCCCCGCCGCCGCCGTCACCACCGTCGGCCCTCGGCGGCGTCGTTTGCCCCTCGCCGCGACCTGACGACTTTGACCTGGGTTTCGACCCGTCGTCACCGCTGCGACGGCTCAACTTTGACTTTGATTTCGATTTGCTGCCGCCGGCCGCTGGTGGCGGCGGCGACGGCTTAGGCGCCGGCGGCGGCTGGCTTGATCGAAGGCTCCGTACCCTGTCATTCTCCGGTCGTACCAGCGGCTGGGCCCACTTTGGCTTCTTGCGTTCTGGGGCCGCTGGGGATGCTGTCGTTGCGGTGGCGGCTGCGGCGCCGCCACCACCGCGGCGAGAGGTCCCTGCTGTGCCTGCGGCAGCGGCAGTGGCGGCGGACCGCTTCACAGCCCCTGTGGTTGCTGCTTGCCCCCGGCGACGGCGGCTGCCAGCGTCCTCGTAGTCCTCGTCGTCATCATCTTCCAAGTAATCCTGATCACTGCTATCGTCTTGGTACCCGGCGTCCAGCGTGTAGTCGCTGCCGGAGCTGTCGGCATTATCTCCGCCATCCGTACCGAGTGCGCTGTGGCTGCGGCTACGGCTGCGATGAGCAGCGGCAGGCGGTTTCTTGCTGGCGCCGCGGGCGCGGGCGAGCGGCACAGAGAGTCCCGGGGCTGACTGCGCTGCTGTCGCTGTCGTCGCCGCTGGACCTGGTTTGGCGGAGGCGCCGATAGGCGCGGATGGGGCCGCAGATTGAGGCTGCACTTGAGTGGCGGGATAGCTGCTTGCAGCCTTTCGCGTTGCGTCAGTGGCTCGCGCTGCTGCAGGGCCCAGAGCCAGTTTGGAGTTCGGCAAGAGCGGTTTCGCGCAATTTTCTTGCGCAGACAGGGCTGCTGGGCCGGGGAGCGGGTCTGCCACACCAACAGGCGCGCCGCTGCCGATGGTTCCCGAATGAAGGACGGCGTCAACGCTCCCAACACTGCCAGGATATGGGTGATCTACCTGGACGTCATCGGTAATACCGTTCACCTGCGGCAGGCCCGAATCTCGCCCATTTTGCGCGTGTGCGGCCGTCAACCCGCTGGTGACGTTAGTGGGCTCAGCTGCCTCCGTCGCCTGTTTTGGGGCTGCCTCCGTGGTATCCTCCCCTGGTTTGTGTCCTTGGTCACCAGCCATCTGGTGCGCCGGTGAGGATACCGGTCCAAGTCCCGGCCCGTGTTATCCCCTGAGCATATCAGGGAGAAATTCGATGATTCCGACGCAGGTTAAACGTGCAAACAATGATGGCGGAAATTGGGCTGATCGCACCCCTAATGCGGTAACAAACCAAATGGCGCAGCCAAGTATAGCAGGGAGTAATTTTAGACAGTCAATTTCTTCGCCGATACATCCAATGGAAGGTTATAGGCAATTTTGTAGTTGTCAGCTAAGAATGCAGCCTCATTTCTCCCTTCATGTACGGCACTTGGCAGGAGGTTGTGCCCAAGCATAGACCGATTGGTCTGAATGCATAAGATTAAGCACCAAGTATTTGTTATTTCGCATATCCCCTGCTTGGCAGTCTTGACCTGGCTCTCCTGGCTAACCTGAACAACGAACCTCTTCTACCAACGGAAGCCTCTATCGTCTATCCCAATTCCTATCTTCCTTGCCGGAGACCGCCCGTCCTAACCAGATCGGAACTTCGCTTTTACTCTCCTGCACACAGGAGCCCCCTCTGACGAGTGACGACCATATCATGCTGTGCATTGTGGTACCCTGGTTAGCTTTTTTCCCTCTGGGACTTGAGATGCTGGAGATGGGAAGCGGTTGGGGGGACACTGCACGATCTATGGCGTTTCTTCGGCTACCTGCGGGAAGTTTGAGCTCTGTACGCGAACTTTCAGCTGCGACTTCAAATTTAGCTTTGTCTGTTGGGCAGCTCCGGCGGCAGCTTGCTGTGGCTCTTCCAGCACCCGGCCTCTAGGTATAGCTGCTCTTTACACCCACCAGCCCGGCTTGTGAGCCCTCCAGCAGGTGGGGTCGACGACCCAGCTCGGCTGCCGAAACCCAACCACGCATCATTAACCAACGTCGTTGCGGCGCAAAAGCTGCTGTCCGGCTAGGACGCTCCCTATAGCGGTTAGAGTGTTTGCCTGAGTCTGGGTCCAGGTACAGCAGTGTACGAGCTTCGGAACGGATACCTGGGACCGGTCGCGCATAAGAGCGGCCCGCAAGCATGACCTAGCTATGTCAGTCAGCCACCTCGCCAAGCGATTCGTCGGTTCATGGGGCAGGGCAGTGCTCCTGCTTGCGTGTAGATTCCGGTGATAACATGGCGGAGAAGGGTCTCACAGCCGTCGAAACAATTGAGGGCGAATGAGGGCGAGAGTACGTATGAGCATATATACATCGCAGATCGTTGATGCGGCTCATCTCCCTTTTGTCGGTTTGCACGTGTATGTATTAAACACGTGTTTGTTTTATTTATGGGGGCAGAGACAGCGTGCAGGATTTGGACACTCACACCTCGGTGCATGGGTACATGGGTAAAGTCTTGGTGTTCTGTATAGTTACACAAACGGTTATTAAACGGTCTGTGGGCTTCTGGGTCTGCTGAACAGCTCGCTCTTCATCAACGCGAAGCAAGACCATCCCGCGGACGTGGCTGCGTTTCCAGGCAATAGTCAAAAAGCTTCCTGGCGCTATACCCGTTTTTCAACATTTCGTTCACCTGCTTCACCTCATCTCTTGGTGGCATAGTGCTAGCCACCAACCGCCCCGTTTACACCGCGTCGGACAGACATCAGGCACCATCGCAAGATCTCCAGACACACCTCGTCGAGACATTCGGTTGCAGCCCTATGCGACTCGCCTCCCCTAAGCCAGAGAAGCCCCGTAGCGCCCCCGGGATCCCAAAGCCTTAGCAGCGTCAGTCGTCCGAGAACAGTCGTGGTGTTGGGACATGACGGCGTCGCCCAGAGCGCAAAATGAGTACAGGGTAGCCGTCACCTTACTGCCACAGCTATCCTTACGACCTCTATTTCAGATTTGCTCGATCACGATGCATAGCCTAAAGATGTTGTTGCATCGAATACCAGCCAAGATTGAGTTTCTTGTGGGAGATACCTTTAGGTTTGCAGATATCACGAACCGTTCGTCGTGGTCACGATTGGGATGTTGGTCGCGATGCGCCGTCCAGGACACCAGATAGCCTCTGGTGTCCTGGCATACTGGTGTCAAGCTCTGTGCATCCTTCCCACAGCCAGCCAGAAGCAACTGCAGCAGCTCTTGCTTTGTTCGTTCAAATTTCTCTAAGTAGCCGCCTCAGCGACAGCAACGAGTGTTTGCTGTTGCAGCTACTGCTGCTGCAGCTGCTGCTGCTGAAGGACTGTTCGTTGCTCAACACCAGGTAAGGAGATGCCCCGCGGGTCAACCCGCCGTGCCGGTGGAGGGCGGGGGATTTGCTCACTGGCGCCGCTCAGCCAACTTGATAGTTCGCTCCACAACCTACGTATCGCGCATGTACCAGGCGGTTTAAAGGGAGTACGTGGGGTACGTGGATAGGGATGCAGTGGGCAAATGGAGCGGCTGTACGACAGGGCAACCCGAACTTGCCAACAGGTGATGCATGGGATTCGGGATCGCAATCATGGGCCGGAAGCGAATGTTTTGGGTGAGCAGCGCCCCTCTTCACGGGTTTGGGACGGGCTTTTAGTGTGACCAACACGGACCCATGGGTCACTTCTCAGGTGCTGGCAGGCGGTCTGGATTTCTTAAGGTAACCCCGATATCGGCGGGAGCGATTCCGGCTTCGGATCAGATTCCCCTGCTGGGCAGTAGTTATCCACTAGGGGGTTCACCGGGCTTTCTGTCCGCTTCCTAGAGGGCCGAGCACAATGATGTACACACGACACACAGTAACCACGTTAAGACATACATACCTGCAACGCAAAATCCACCGACTGGATGGAGCGTGGGTTGAGGGCGGCTGGCAGCAGGGACCTGCGGGGAGGTGTGGTTTTGGGGCCCCGGTAGAGTTTGAGCCGTCAGTATGAGGGCCAATGCTGGTAAGTGGATGAACAGAAACGCCAGCTAGTGCAGACGAAAGGCATCTGGCGTGCGGCTAGTCGCTGATGGTACGATGATTTCCATGCTATTCTGATGTCATCGGTAGCTCACGTCGTCTGAGCAACCATTGAGCTCTCTCAGGTGATCCCTCGGGTCGCGCCTGTGCCGTTCCCTCCCAACCTACGTTTCCGCCTCGCGCGCCAGGTCCTCGAACTGCGCCATGTACGTGTTGTCCTTGTACTTCTGTTGTCGTACGGCACGACAAAGCATGCGGTGTTATAGTGGCATACGGGATTGCATTGCAAGGTTAATGCCCATAATGTGTGGCGTGCAGCGTGGCGTGGGGTTGATGCCCCTCCAGATACCGGCCACCGCGAGTGTATCCCACTGCCGATGCCGAAGGCCCCGTAGCGGTCAGAAACAAAAACAGGGACAGGTTCAGGTTTGGGAGGCAAGCGGTGGCGGCGGTGACGAACCTGGGAAGCAGATCTATCCCAAGACCTGCGCGCTTGCGGCTCTGAGTTGAAGGCGCTAAGTAAAACACGGTATGAAATAAGGGCGCCGGCGATATTATGGGGGTTGGAAGTCATCTGCCCGCGCAACCACTTTTGCCACACGGGCAACACGCTCCCTCCTGAATAGGCCCAACCAACAGTCCATGCGCGCGGAACATACCTTCACCTTGCTGGTGTCCAGTGCTGGTGTGGGGGAATGGGGATGAGGTGGGGGTTGAGGGGAGGGCATCGTTGGGAGGGAAGGGGGAGGGCCGGGATGGAGGCAGAGACCAGATGGCTGAACGGTACACACAAACACACACCGCACACACACACACACACACCAATTCCAACGTCACAAACAAATGCACATGAGATTTCTGGCGCCGCACGGAAAGTAATTGTTGCTCCGGGGCGCTGGTTTGTGTCAGCGCGGGTCAGTTCACATATGATTGTGCGTCACTTCCCGCAGTGTGACATGCCGCTTCTCTGCGAGGGACCCTCGCACGCACACACATGCCAGCCTTGAAAAGCCGAAATGACTTAGGGTAAATAGTCACGTCGGGCTGTTGTTGGTTGGTCAATTTTGGGCTTGCTACGCCCCATCTCCCGCCCCACCTGGCCCAGCTGCCACCAGCAGCCTCCCTCCCCTCCGCAAATCCCACATATGAACACCCCGTCCGCCTGCGCCGCACCCTCCTCCATTCCCGCGCATTTCTCAGCCCCCCATCCTCCCCATCCTCCACCGTCCCCTCCGGCACTCACAGTCCACGCCGGCACCCAGGAGGACCGCTGATCCGGCGATGTAAAGTGCACCACCCACAATGCCCGTGATGCCAGCCGCCAGGCCCAGCCCCAGAGAGACCAGCGAAATAGCTGCGCCAGGGCCGTTCTGCAGAGGCAGCAGCAAAAGTTGTACGTACCTGTTAAGTCAAGGGCTGCACTGCGTTTAAAGGCTCTACACTCTTACGCGATCTCCCATCCCCCAAGGAAGCGCTCCGTGGGGGGTTCCCCGGTAGCCGACGTCCAGTCCCCCTCAACAGCGTGTTTGGGACGTACTGGGATCTATGTTGCGACTGTATGCGCTGACCTAATTTTCCCTGATACAATCCCAGCTGCAGCGTCGGTGTGCGGTCGGATTCCGGAGGTGGCTTTCATGGTGAGGTTGGGGGGGGTAACAAGGTATTATGGACGAGTGAGATCGTACCAGGAACGCGTCAGCGCCCAAGTTGCCAAGATTGGCCAGAGCGGCACCGAAGTCAGCTGGTTTGAAGGTGAAGTCAAAAGCTGAGCCGGCTGTCTGTCCCATGTTCTTGGGGTTTGCGGCGCCCAGGTGGCTGCTCTGAGCCATGAGTGCGGGCATGATGGAGGTGAGGTCCTGGGAGAAACGGGTTGAGGGTTGTGAAGATGAAATAAAGGAAAGAGGAAAAGGGGACCCAGGATTGGGTCCGCTCGGGCCCCGCAAACAGCCACAACCAACGGAGCAAACCAACCGCAGTGTCAAGAAGTGTTACGGTTGAACCTGCCAAAACGCATTGGCTCAGTGTCTCACCCGGCCTCCGGAGCCGCTCAGGACACCAGCGATGCGAGACCACATGTCCAGGGTGGGCGAGTTAGCGGGCAGGGCCAGGCCCAGGGCCTGCGGGTGGTGGTTGGTTGCGGAGGGGGGTTGCGAAAGGGGCAAGAGCGGTCCAAGAGAAGCTGCATGAGCACGGGGTGCCGGGGGTTGCCGTATCAGGCCACGAGGAAAGGCCACACGCCTGGATTGGACAGCTACAGAACACATGCGGCATAAGGCAATAAGGCAAAAAATCACAAACCGCAAAATGCAAGCCGTGACGGGTAGTGTAAATGGCACAACACCGGCGGTGTGTGGAAATTTAGTCGTTTAGAAGGAAATGTGGGTGGCAGGCTGGCAGCAGGGGGCCCACCTTTGCCGTGTTCCTCAGCTGGTCGTACGCGGCCACCAGGTCGGCATTGGAGGCGCTGGCCATGCTGCCCACAGCGGCGCGGAGGTTGTCACCGGGGTTAGCTTGCGCCATGTTCTGCAGGTCGCCCAGATCGCCACCGTCACTGTACGCCACCGACGGTAGCGGGTGACAGGCACCTCGTCCTAAACCCTAAGACACGGTTAGCTTCCCCCGGGGGCCACCCAGCTCTGGCACGGCGCGGTGGCGAATATCACTTCCAGGACGTCTGCGTGCGAAACGGTGGCCTACCTGCGTGCCGGAACCTTGTTTACCCCACACACAGAAATCCGGGCCCCGGTCCTCACATTTTCATTCCCCGTTGATTTTACCCCTGGACTGCTGATGAAACGCAAGATGGGGCCCCACATAGTGCGGCTCATAGCTCACACCAGCTCTGGACCCTCTTTCCGTGTATGTGATCGTACATCGGTACAACGCCTGCTCGGGCCCATCCCATCACCCATGCCATCGGTCACTGACCTGAAGGTTCTTTCCGCTGCCGAAGTCCTTCAGCATCTCAGTGGCACTCTGGACCATATCGGCGGCACCTGCAGTGTGATGATGGTTTTGTCTCGTGTGGGAGTTCCGTATTAGAGCGAGGAGCAGGACGGGGAAAGTCATGTATGTGTGCACGTAGCTGTGTACGTACGTATCTACGTATGCACGGCTTGAAGGGTGACCTGGGTGCGCATACTCACTGCGGTTGCTGGGACGGAAGGCCAGCGTGTCGGCCATAACCCTAGCCAGGCTGTCACTCATAGCCTGTCGTGTGGGATATCAGGGCCGGCGGGAAAAGGTAACAGGCCCCGAGGGCAGGGGTACGCGGTGTTGGGCTGAGTAAAATAGACTGCCGACGGCCGCCCGGATAGCAGTTCGGGCAAGGGGGAGGCTCCCTTGCGGTCGCCGAGTGGCACAGGCCACTGCAGCCGATCATGGGCGCGGCAAGGGAGGCGCCGTGCAGTTTTACGCTGTACAGGTTATGCCGTACAAGGAGCACCATATCCTTGGCTTCCGGCGGTGTCGGTGGAGGACCGGGCGGCCTACTGGGTAACATCAGGGCTTTCCACAGCGACCAGCGAGAAGAGCAAATACAAATATCAGCAGACAGACAGACAGACAGACAGACAGACAGGCAGACAGACAGATGCGCACATAGGAGCAAAACACATACATGCACTCCGCGCGTTTGCGCAACCATCCCACACCCGTATCACATAGACAGCCGCACAACCAACGGAGCAATGCTGCACACTTTTTTCCACACCTGCCATTCCTTACCACCTGGCCCAACCACCTACCTGCCACATGGCAGCACCCGGGACGGCGCCCGCAGCGGCCGAGGCGGCCGTGGCCCCAGCGGCCGAGGCACCCCCACCAGGGGTCGCAGAAGCAGTTGGGACGGCTGCCATTAAGGGGGCGATCATGGGCCCAAGGACTTGCGCGGAGGCCTGTAGACAGCGTTACGCGGGGGCCGGGGATTGCGGGGGCGGCATCAGTGAGCGCGCAGGCAGCGAATGGTGAGGGGTATCATGACCGCGCACTCCAGGGCATCAACGGAAAGATGCCAATGGAAGTGGCGTCACCTCTCCGGGAAGGCCTTGCTCTGGGACTCCGTCACCTACCACAACAAAGGCGCCCAAGCCATTGCAGCCGCCGCCATCCCGGCTTCAAAACCCAACTCCACCCCCCAACACTCGTTCATCTGTTTCCCCATGACCGTATGGGGGCTGATGGGGGCACTCGTCTTCGAGTTCAATCCGTAGCTCTCTTTTCCCGCCAACACTTTCCTCCCCAATTACTAAGCTTGCGCCCGCTGTATTGGGTGAGCAGTGACGTTCGCGTCATTACATGTTATGAATGATCCTTTCATGTCCTGTGCCGGAGAAGGGTAGAACACAGCCGTCTTGCCTCCAAGCGAAAGTGTTACAAGGCAAGAAGGAACTACGCTGCCGAGCTGCTGCTGAAGTCAGCGGGGACTTTGCGAAGACTTCACCCCTCACCTGATGGTGGGTCAGTAGGATGGCCACAAATCCCAGCACCACACCCAGACGCCGCGGGCCGCCGAGGGAACCAGCCATCCTGGACGATGCTAAATGAGCTGCCTCCACAGAGACCGACGCGGCTCGCCTTGCCGCCGGGAAGCTTGCTGCTGCTGCCGCTGCTGTTAGACGTATCAATGAGGGGCCGCGGCAGCGAAAGGCGAGGGCGGAAAAGGGATACGGCAGCGGAGCCGGTGGGGGGCAGAGTAGGAAAGTTGGTTAGGAGGGCCGTCAGAGAATTGTAGTTCAATCTGTCATTAAAATGGTAGCCGCCCCCAGCAACGGTACCCTCCAACAAACACAGCGATGTGCAACAAGAGGGCCTCAGAGGGCAGCGAACGAAGCACGTAACGCTGGCTGCATCTCGGACCGCGAGCAAACTGGACACCAACTGACAGTACTGTGCTTCCGAGATGCGGCCGACCTCCCTCGCCTTGAAGAAGGCAGGCGGATTGTTGGCTGTCAGCCGCTGCTGTGGCTGGACACGTCTGCACATCCGCACACGTGCCGCAAATTAGGTCGCATTCTCACCAGGAAGAAGGCGGATGGCTAGCTGAACCCGTCAGCTGAAAGGAACTGGAAGCGAGGAGGCGGCTGGGAATAACCGAGCACGAAAACTCTAGCCCGATGTTGAAGAGCCGCAATATACTCGGATGGTTGACTGAGTCGATGAGCGTGTTGTTTTAAGCTATGAAGGCCAAATGAACCCTCTGATGTAGTCTCGCGCTGCCGTGGAGGCGCCGCGGACGCGGGGAGGGCCCCCGTGGGTTCCGTTGGATCAGTCCCAGGAAGTTATTGCCGTACATTGCGGGCGTGGCTGGCGTCTCACCCCCATCAGCGGGCGTCAAAGACCGTCGATGCGTTCGAGGCTGTCAACGACCAGGTAACCGACCAACTAACTGCCCAACCAACACAGACTGACGACGAGCTCCTCCTTTCCGTTTGTTGACCGTAACGGTCCGAGAATGAGGGTCAGCAAACTGAGTGGCCGATCAGGTTGTCGCCACATCCTAGAAGTACAGGATGGCCGGACGGCCGGCCCTCTGCAGTACAGTTGCTCCATTTCATGCTGCCCAAAAGTCTCCTACATATCGTGGAAGTATACCTTGTGGCTGTACCTTGTAAACCGAAGTGCAAGGAAAGTAATCCTGAGACACGCTTCGTCGATACAGAGGAAACATTTCAATTCCTTTTCTTTACTAGCCCACTTGCCGCCGCCGCAGCACCTCCCCTACAGCACCGGTGAGTTGCCTCGCTCGGCCTACAACAGCAAACCGCCTGAGTGGTCCCCGGAACCCCGGAACCTTCCTTGGCCGACTTCCTTCCGTTGCGTTTTTGTGTGCTCGGCGTTGGGCAGGCAGTACGTGCGCCCATAGTGCACACGTGTCCTGCCGCCGGGACTATTGCCCCCCGGCCCCGCCCCGCGATACCCATCTCGGTTTACTCGGTTCCATGTCACTTTTGTTTAATTTTCAGTAGACTGCCCGTCCCACCATCAACTCTCACCTTGACGACATAACCGCCCTCTTTACATCCTCCCTGCCACCGTCACTGCATCCTCCGTCCTCATTAACACGCACAGCGTCCTTCACCGTTCCGCATCTCCTTCCCCTTCCCCCCCTCCAACACCCTGCCTCAGCATCAGGAACAAACCTTGCCACAGAATGGTGTCCTGGGTGGCTGCTGCCGCTGCAAGAGGCCGTGGCCGTCGCGGTCAGCTGTCCCGACGGGCCGCTCCTTCCCTGGCCCTCCTGCTGGCGGTGATCACGGGCCACATGTCGCAGGTGCGCTACCCCGCGAGGGGGAGGAGGTGTGTGACGGGCGCCACGTCCAATATGTCCTACGCGCGTCAACCCCAAGTGCTCCTGGACAGCGGCCCTGTGTCGGTCTGATGCGGAAGCTAGCAACCTCCGCTGCCCTCGCCTCTCCTCGCCTCGGACCGCTTCCTGCCACGGTGACCGTCTCCCTCGTCGGCTGGGGCAGGGGCGTGGACTGTCGGGTTATCAGCTGCCTACTTTGTTAAGCCGCACCGCACCGGGCCTGGCCTACCCTGGGCTGGCCTAGTCTGACGCATTCAAACGTTTGGGGAGACCTTTCCCCACACGGGCCCCCGGCGGTGTTCAGTCCCTCGCACTGGCACTGGTCTAACCCCCGGGACCGCTTGCATGGAATTGTTGAGTTGATTGTGTTGTGTGAATTCTACGCGGGGCTGCCTCCGCTCGTCCCAGGTTTGTTCCCCCCTGCCACTCTCCAATGCCCCGCAGGTGGCCTTGGGGCAAACCATGTTGCTGCCGGGTGAGTGTGGGCAATTGGGCTGCTGCATAGGTAAACCCGTAGGTCGGTTAATTGATGCCGTTGATGGGTCAGACGCATTTCCGTGAGGCTCCAGATGGCATCTGGGAAACCAAAACCCTCAGCCTAGTGGAGCTTCGCACCCATGGCCGCATGTGTATTTGTAATGTAGTTTCCTGGCAATAGGGCTCGTCATCCCCTCCAGTCTCGGTCGGGAGGGGCCTCCTCCTGTGCCCTCATGCATAATCAAGACATGCATAAAACCTCACCCGGCCGGGCGGCCGCTCCAAACCCCACCCCACCCCACCTTTCCCCTAAGTGCCTTTGTTTTGACAGTGCGGTTCAACCAGGGGCCGTGGCCGCTATAGGTTTGCCGGCAAGCCGCCATTGGCACCGACCGTGGGGGTTGCCATGCCCTTCGGCCCTTCGGCCTTGTACCTCAATACCTACCCACCTGCTTGCAAGTATCGACATTTGCCTACCTACCTACCTGCCTGCCTACCTACCTGCCTGCCTACCTACCTGCCTGCCTACCTACCTGCCTGCCTACTACCTACCTACCTACCTACCTACCTACCTACCCACCAACCTTGTCCACCGCAGGCATGGGCCAGTGGGCTCAGAACGTGCAGAACATCGGCCAGCAGGGCCGCGATGCGCTGATGGGGGCCATGCCGTAAGTAGTACAATAACCCACGTAATGAGAAGCCTATGAGTATGATGGCGGGTAGGGAACACAATCGCGGCTGGAGAGGGGCCCCTCGGGTCTCAAAGAAGCACCGTAGCAGGTGGAGGTTAGGGGCCGGGCCCGGGCCCGGGGCCGGGGCCGGGGCCGGGGCTGGGGTAGCTGGAGTGATGTTATGCGGATGAGGAGTTCGGGTTCGCATCCCCAGCTCCTTGCGGCCCTTCCAGGAACCAGGGACCTGAGGCCCCCGAGCAGATGCATCGAAGCAACGTGCCTCCTTTTCAACCACCAGACACTAACCAGTAACCACCGATCAACCAGCATGCAGCTAGGCACCGCTGCGGCCATGCATGCCACTCTCTCGCCAGTCACCTATCGCCTCCACCTGCCACATATCATATCCCTTACCGCCACTCTTTTGCCCTCACCTAACTTTTTGCCCTTCACCTTTGTCCCTTGTGTACGCAGCAACTGGGGCGGCCTGTCCCTGGGCGGCGGCCTGAACGCCTTTAACAACCCCTTCATGTTCGGAGGCGGCATGGGGCCGCTGGGAAATCTCTTCCAAACTCGCGACGGCTCCGAGTACGACACCAGTGTCGTGGACCCCAACTACGGACAGCCCTTCGGACAGCCGTCTGTTGCTGATCAGGCTCGGCAGGGGCTGCAGTCGGCGCTTTCCTGGGCCCCCCGCAGCAGCGCTGAGAAGGAGAAGAAGATCAAAGAACTGCAAGCTGCGCTGAAGGTGCGATGTTGGGGAGGAGGGTTGCGGTGTGGGGTGCGGAAATGTGGGTTATGGTTTATCGGTTGAAACGTCCTATCGCTTCATTCATGTTGCATGTGTGTTATGAAAACCTGCCCCGGCCCTTCTGTCTCCCACCCTCGCTTCCCTCCGACCGTAGGGCGACGCAGCCATCGCAGCCATTGTGGGTCCCTCCCTGCTGCTGGCCTCCTCCATCCTCATCACCGTGTCCACCTCCCTGAGCACCGCCTCCACCTCGGTCGGCATCGCTGGGGCGCTGGCGGGCAACTTGGTGGGCTGGTCCAAGTGGATCAACAATGCGGAGGTTTTTTTCCTGAAGCTCCGGTGAGTTGGAATTGATTAGTGGCAGATTGAAAGGGATGACAGAAAAAGGAAACGAGCGAAGGAGACATGTCCATGTCTGTGGACAAGCTCAAGAGGCCGTGATGTGGATTCTGGGACACGCATAGTGTGCCTGTTTCGCTGCAATTACTCTCCTCGAGCAAAAGGATCCCCTAAGTCATCCCTTCGGGTTGTTCCTTCCCATACCCTAAGCCACCGAACCACCCCGAACGCTTCTGTTTGCACGCTGAAGGTCGGGCGGCAAGCATCGCAGCCTGCTCGAGGTCGCAGGCAACAACACCGATGCAGATGGCCCCGAGGCGGGGCGCTATAGGGCCCAACTGCTGGACCAGCTGCGGAGCGCCAACGATGTGATGTCGGCGTGGGGACATCAGCTGCAACGCGCGCGCAACACCGTGCAGGACGGTAGGTAGCCATCGGTTCATCACCATAAGGGGGATAGGGGACCCGGGGCGGGAGCGTGGCTAGGACTTCGGGGCGGGGGATAGGGAACCATTCCGCGGAACGGAAACGGGAGTTATCATCAAGATTAAGGAGGGGAGAGCGAGAGAGCGATGGAGTCCCCTAGGCCAGGGATATTCCCGGGGTGGAAGTCCACGAGGACAGAGGACAAACGTTTTTTTAGCGGAAGCAGGTGGTGAACTGTTTGGTGCTAGCTGCACGGTGCAGTGCGGTGTGAGTGTGTGGGAGGACGACCTGGACGTGTGGGTTGGGATGGCGGAGAGGGCCTGTACACCTGAGGGTCTATACCACGCCCCCACCCGCATCAGCTCCGCACCAAACTCGCTCCCTTCCCCTGCACTTGCCGCGCCCCGCCTCCTTCCCGCCGACCCGCCCACGGGCCTTCCCCCCACAGCCTCCTTCCTGGACTTTCTCCGCAGTCAGCAATCCGCCCTGGAGACGGCGCGTAAGGCCCTGGGCGCGGTGCAGGCTCACCCTCTAGGAGCGGCTCTGGATCTGCGCAGTGCTTCCCCGATGGGCGGCCTCCTCCACAGCTTCCGTGGCAGCGGCGACGATGGCGACGGCGCTCACGGCGCTGGCGGCCTGCTTGGCGGCAGTCCCATTGCGGAGCAGATCGCCAAAGTCGTCAACAACGCGCGCAACGGCTGAAACCATGTAAAGGGCTTCACGGCGGTTGAAGGATTGGTTTCCGCAGTTGCACGACAGCACCCGAACGGAGGCTCCGTCCCTACCACTTAGGCGAGGCGAGGGTGTTGTATGAATAACGGTAGGTGCCAAAGAGGGGGCATGAGGGCTGTAGGGTGTAGTAGGATTACAATGGTGGTGCGGAAGTGTACGGCATATAACGGCGTAGGAACGATGTGGGCTGCCGGTGACAGTTTAAGTCGGGTTTGGCAAGGACCAAGAGCAACTCCACTTCAGCGTAAGCTAAGACGCGGTGGGGGAGGTGCACTGCATCGTGTCGGCTTTCAATCCATTGTGCTAAAATCCACCAGATCAGCGACAGGAAGGCGGGAGAAGGGACGAGATGCGCAGAGATGGCTGCAGGGGGAACCTGTCCCACGGAAAGGAAAGAGGGCTGGAAACGCACACCTCAGACAGTCGTCTTAGAGCAGGGACGAGCCAGGGAGATCGTCAGCATTGTAGCTTCTCTGGGTTATACGGTGAGGCGTAACTGTTTGCTTAGTCGGTTTGCAGAGCGGCCGGGGTAGAATTGCTCTCGTGCTCGTGTGTTGCTAGCCATTCCGGGTGTTCCGGTGGGGCTCACGTGTGCTTATGCGGCGTGGGGTTGTGTGTTTCGGGTCGCTGCTCTTTGTACGACACTCATCTCCATCATGCCATGCGGGGCTTCCCCATCGTCCTTCCCCGGCTTGACTTGTGCATCTGCCCCGCATCCTAATATGCTGGTAAAGTAGGTAAGGAGGGGACGAACAAGGGAAATGAGTGAGTCTGGGAGATCTGTGCGTATCTGTGCACCTTCAGTGCGTACTCGGGGAAATTGGAACGGAAAGAGAGACCGTGGCGTCGCTCTGTGTCATGGCGGCCTCCCGTGAAGTTGCCCTGTTGCACGTCGCTGCTGTTGGTTGTTTTGCGGTCTATGTGGTTTTCTGTTTTGCTTGTGATTTGCTTGTGATCCATTTTACGTTTCTTCCGTGTGATCTGGCGGTGTGATCTGGATGGATGCAAGGTTCGTGGACCAGGTGGGCCAAACCCTAAGTCCATACAACAACGCCCAATTGAAAGGTTTGTAGGGCCAATCTTCGTCAGTGCTTAGAGATGCAGGGCTGTGGGCTGGTTCAGCCCACGTGTTGGATGGATTCCGGGATGGGAGACCGAGATTACCTCATTATGGGCCTTCCGCTATGTCCATGTACATTGGCGAACTTTGGCTTGGGCGCGTATAACGAACGATATAACTGCGATGTAACAAGCTCCTCGCTCGCCGCGGCATCGCAGCTCGTGCCCCGTGTACGCTCTTGCGACAGCCTGCAGGCGCGCAAATACCGACGCACGGACAGTAGCGCACCTCGCAGCCTCCAAACACCAGCAGCAGCTCCTCCTCCTTGAAATGCGCCCCGGCCGCCGCCCTGCGGCACGTGGCTAGGCTGCGACAACGCTGTTGCCAGTACCGACTGATAGCTCACTGGGCCCGCCAACCGCTGCAGGATGTCACAATTTCGTGGGATAAAACATATCGTTGACTTCAAACTGTTGTGAACGAGTAAAGTACTAAAAAGAAAGGGCATTATTGCATCCAGTTTGCTTTTGGGCAAATCCAAATCCGATATTCGTCTCTAGGCGCTAGTCGTCGACAACCTAGGCGCCTAGCTCCCGCTCCTATTGTCTCTGTCCTTTCAATACAACTGTACAACCCCCCCCGGCGGTTTGCTTAAGAAAATTATAACCCCACATTTGCACTACCCGCCCCTCCAGCTGCCCCTACTGCCTGCGTGTGGTCGCTCTTGCGGACCTCCTCGTCACAGTCCCCATCTCTACTATCCCTCTCTCTATATATATAAAAATCTAACATATATAATTAAAAATATCCACACACACAGCGGTAACACTCCTCCCAGTCCCTGCCTCTCTCCCCGTCACCCCGGGACACTCCGCCGCTCTCTTCACCACCCCAGCGACTCCTTCGCTAAGACGCCCACCCGCGATGGCGCTCTCTCCCCGCCCAGACATACTCATCGTACAGATCTAGCCATCATAATCAAGGCGGCCGTACTAACACTTAGCAACACTTTATCTCATCATCTCATTCGCCCGTTTGTGTGTATTGGGTTCCGGCAGCTCTCCAAGCCGTCTGGTGCCACAGCTACGGGGCCCCACCTAGAGGGCCCCTTCCGACCCGCACCTAGGTATCACCTGCGAGCGGGTCATACCGCCGCCTACCACCATATGTGCCATGTCTTGGGAAGGTGTGGCCAGCGGCCCCCCCCCCTCAGGATTACGCAGTGATACGAGATGAGGTGCTTCAGGAAGTGCTCGATGTATGCGAGATATAAGAGATGCACGCACCCACAAACGCACGTATGCACGTATGCAGGCATGCGCATTTGTTGCACATGCCGCTCCCGAGCGCTTCAAAAAAGTTAAAAACACAACACACATGCTGCGCTTCCGTTTCGAACACTTTTCCGAGCACGAAGCGTCCGATAAGTTGTCGCAGGCAATAAGCAAGGCTCATTCCCTCTCCCGCCCCCGTCCCTCCCCTCCCTTCTAGCAGTGACAGCGCGGGACACCCAGGTACACACACACACACACACCCTTCCACCCGCTATCAGTGGCACCATTACCAGCAAAACAACTGCCCTACGTCGCTCCGGAACCCTTCATGAAGCTCCGGATGTCCCGACGAGCTCCGGACGCTCCGGAGCTACCGCCAGCCGCCGCCGCCGCCGCCGCGGCCGCCCCCGTCGGTGCCTGCTCCTCGGCGGTGCCCAGCAGCAGCTGCAACATGCGGCGCGTCCTGGGACCCGCGGGTCCGTCCGCATTGACGGAGGGCACGATGCGCCCCGGTTGCAGCCACGACACAAAGGAACGCAGCTCACCAAAGCTGCTGTGCTCGCTGTACGGCACCTGTACAGCACATCGGGTGCAGTACAATACAGTATAATACGGTACAATACGGCGCGACGGTATCCTGCGCCACCGCAACTCAATCGGGTGGCACAGATGGGAAGGCGGCCCTCTGCATCCTCTTGGGCCGCCCGGGGGCAGGTCAGGAGGTCAGGAGCGTGCAACATGGTAACATGGGTAATGTGCAGCGATGTGGTGGGTTTGAAGTTTCAGTGCAGTCTAAACCATAAGGGGGGGATGATGGGACAATAGGGTTCCCAGAGCTCCAGGGTGGGTCCCGGAGTTTGAAAAAGGTGCGGACAGGAAGGTGCGAGCGGACGGGACTTCACGCAGGTGCTCGTACCGGCTCCCGGTACTTGGGGAAGGTGGGCTGGAAGCCGCGCAACAGCAGCACCGGCCCCCACCTGCGCCGTACAGATGAGTCACAGCAACCCCCTACAGTCACTGCAGCGACCCGCAGCCCCAGGTGACCCGCAGCCCCCCCGGCCCCCTGCCCGTATGTATGTCGACACACCTGGTACAGCACAGCGGTCCCACGGGCCATCCGCCGCCCGATAGCGGCGCTCTGCTGCTGCCGGGATAGCACCGAGGAAGAGCCCCTGCCGCCAGCACCCCGCCCCCTGCCGACACCGCCTCGCCCTCTACCGCCGCTGGCACCTCCTCCCCCTCCTCCTCCTCGTGCACCTCCCGTGTGGTTCCATCCGGTTGGCTGCATGTAGATATGTAAGTAAGTATGTAAGTATGCAAGTATGTATGTGCGCGTGCAGGGAGGGTTGAGTTGAGTTGGATTGTTTACATGGGCCCTGCTGTAGATCCCTGTAGGTTCACGGGGAGGTTACAGCGCGGACAGCCTCACCGAGAAGCCTATGACGGCGCTGTACCGCCCCCGGTACTGCTGCAGGATGGCGGACAGGCCGTCCAGAGTCACCTTGAACAGGGG